ACCACTGGTGACTATTATTTTAACCGGTCCTGGGCCTCCCCTAGGTCGACTCAGCCTCAAACGAGTAACTCATGTGGTGTGTGAACATCGCCACTGGGAGACAAAGGCGGCCGGGCGTGATGAATCCAAGTCCCGGGCGAAGCCGGGTAGTTAAGCTAGTTCTATTATAATCGGACGGTGCTGGGAAAAAAACTGTGCGTAGCCGCTGTTGTTGTGCAACTTGTGTGTGAATGTGCGTGCGTGAAAACCGAATGGCAGGACTCATTTTGACAACGGATGATATGTGAAAAGGATTATCGTTTGTATTAGTGAAACAATAATTGACATTATAACGCATATACCTAAATAAGAAATTTGCTTACATTTATAGTCAATACATATGCAGTTAAATGTCCTGTTGGGTTGTAGCTTGTACAGCTGCAATATTTGTACTGTAATGCTTATTCCGTGGAGTTCAAAGTTGTTTAAAAATTGCAAAAGGTAAAAAAGAAGAGCTGAATATATATTGCATTAAAAAAACCTTGTATATAGCATGCTTAATCCAGTATTCAATTTCAACACCATAACCTGTGTTTGCACAAAGGGACAACTTGCAGCGGTTTTATGTAAACAACTATTTCAGTCATGTTCACCTTAATGGGGTTCTTCTATTTATATAACGGTGCAATGTGTATCAGGATTTGTGTGCTTGATGCTATTAATATTGTATTAGTCAAATGTAAACGTATTGTTGCTGTCAAGTACAGTAGATATATACCAATGTTTTGATGCGTGTCTATAAGCTTCGCTTTGGTGTCAGATATGAAACATCACAACATTTTAGCATTAAGTGATAGATATAGCACAATGAAATAATGATGTTAGTGGTCTTTTTAAATCAATAAATGCTCATTTTCGATGGGGAAACTGGTTACAAACGTGGTAACAACAAAGAGCACAGTCACCCAAAGATTAAAATGCCTTTGCGAAGCTGGCAATGTTATGAAGAGATGATGTATGATCTGGGATATGGGCAATTAACAAAATGCTCTCACTATTGCAGTCTATGACACTGCATGAAACCTGTAAATAACAAGTGGAATAAGAGCTGATCAGTCAAGTGGATAAGGCATTATCGAATGATTTTAGATATGTTTTACTGTGTAAGACTTTTCAATGTTTTTTTTTTACAAATGTGAACACATCTACACAGCTTACCCTCGCAGGTGGAAGTGTTATGAACTCTCGGGCAAGAAACACATCTGATTTTAATGGAATTAAAACAGCAGACTCGACTCCAGTGTTCTTCACTCATTTTCAGTGGGTGGGGGGCACTTTTGCCAATAAGACATCATCAGTGCGAGGGCCGCCACACATTTGAAACCATTGAGGGGGTTGACAGCAGCACGATGATGATGATGATGTGGGGGGGGTGTTTACACCTTTGGCGATTGTCCGGTGCCGCACTAAAGGCCACTAGGGGTAGCCAGTGGCCCGCGGGCCCTTGCAATGAAGAACATCGCTCTACACCGGACCCGACAGGATGAGTGGAACACGGCAAGCAATACGGAGCACCGTATCATAAATGGTTTTGTAAAACGTGTTATAGTTTTATCATACATTACCTACAGTGAGGGAAAAAAGTATTTGATCCCCTGCTGATTTTGTACGTTTGCCCACTGACAAAGAAATGACCAGTCTATAATTTTAATGGTAGGTTTATTTGAACAGTGAAAGACAGAATCACAAGAAAATCCATAAAAACGCATGTCAAAAATGTTATACATTGATTTGCATTTTAATGAGGGAAATAAGTATTTGACCCCCTCTCAATCAGAAAGATTTCTGGCTCCCAGGTGTCTTTAATACAGGTAACGAGCTGAGATTAGGAGCACACTCTTAAAGGGAGTGCTCCAAATCTCAGCTTGTTACCTGTATAAAAGACACCTGTCCACAGAAGCAATCAATCAATCAGATTCCAAACTCTCCATCATGACCAAGACCAAAGAGCTCTCCAAGGATGTCAGGGACAATATTGTAGACCTACACAAGGCTGGAATGGGCTACAAGACCATTGCCAAGCAGCTTGGTGAGAAGGTGACAATAGTTGGTGTGATTATTCGCAAATGGAAAAAACAAAATAACTGCCAATCTCCCTCGACCTGGGGCTCCATGCAAGATCTCACCTCGTGGAGTTGCAATGATCATGAGAACAGTGAGGAATCAGCCCAGAACTACACGGGAGGATGTTGTCAATGATCTCAAGGCAGCTGGGACCATAGTCACCAAGAAAACAATTGGTAACACACGACGCCGTGGACTGAAATCCTGCAGCCCCCGCAAGGTCCCCCTGCTCAAGAAAGTACATATACATGCCCGTCTGAAGTTTGCCAATTAATATCTGAATGATTCAGAGGACAACTGGATGAAAGTGATGTGGTCAGATGAGACCAAAATGGAGCTCTTTGGCATCAACTCAACTCGCCGTGTTTGGAGGAGGAGGAATGCTGCCTATGACCCCAAGGACACCATCCCCACCGTCAAACATGGAGGTGGAAACATGCTTTGGGGTGTTTTTCTGCTAAGGGGACAGGACAACTTCACCGCATCAAAGGGACGATGGACGGGGCCATGTACCGTCAAATCTTGGGTGAGAATCTCCTTCCCTCAGCCAGGGCATTGAAAATGGGTCGTGGATGGGTATTCCAGCATGACAATGACCCAAAACACACGGCCAAGGCAACAAAGGAGTGGCTCAAGAAGAAGCACATTAAGGTGCTGGAGTGGCCTAGCCAGTCTCCAGACCTTAATCCCATAGAAAATGTCGAGGGAGCTGAAGGTTCGAGTTTCCAAACGTCAGCCTCGAAACCTTAATGACTTGGAGATCTGCAAAGAGGAGTGGGACAAAATCCCTCCTGCGATGTGTGCAAACCTGGTGGCCAACTACAAGAAACGTCTGACCTCTGTGATTGCCAACAAGGGTTTTGCCACCAAGTACTAAGTCATGTTTTGCAGAGGGGTCAAATACTTATTTCCCTCATTAAAATGCAAATCAATTTATAACATTGTTGACATGCGTTTTTCTGGATTTTGTTGTTGTTATTCTGTCTCTCACTGTTCAAATAAACCTACCATTAAAATTATAGACTGATCATTTCTTTGTCAGTGGGCAAACGTACAAAATCAGCAGGGGATCAAATACTTTTTTTCCCCTCACTGTATGGAATAACCTTTGTTTGGCCACCCCAGGTAATGGCATCTATACCGGAACACTGCCAGCTCCACTTTTAGCACTAAAATATACAGATGCTGGTCCAGGACAGTAAGAGCAATGAAGCCTGTCGACGAATGTAGCGCATAGATATGTCATATTTAACATGCTTATTAATGCTGTACAAGCCATATTTTCTAGTCATTGTTATAAGATGGATTTGTATGGTGTTTTCCTTGGCCGACTTTACTTCACGTGTCCACGTCACACGTGCACTTTTGTGATGTTGAAATAAACTTTAAACGTCACCATTGACAAAAGCATGAAAATACTTAAGTACGTTACGTCGTCTTAGCATGAAACAGCACTTGAGCCGTAAATTGACATTTCAAATACAGTACCTGTTATTTTAACCGCGTGAAAGTTAAATTGCGTCCATTGTACTGGCATGTCATTTCTCGCCAATTGATGTTAGACGTAATGTTAGGAACATTTGGCTGAACATTTTCTTACCGTTTTCCGTACCTCATCAACAAACCGACCAGCAGGAGCATATACAGTAAATGGATATGCATAAAAAATATATGGACCATTCACAAAAGCAAGGACAATGCCTTTCACACACACATACCACACTTAACGCAACATATCAATCAATTCACTTAAATTGCCCCCGGAGATGTGACATTGTTTTGGGGTTAAAAATAACGTTATATTTTCAAGTTTTTTGGCTTATTTTTTCAACATAATTGTACAAGTAAACAAAGGAACTGTACTGTTAAAAAAACAATGGATCACAATAATTGTAAGCATGCAGGCGTGTTTATTAATAACATGGCAATACAATTGAATCAAATATGCACCAAATATAAATGAAAATCAAATGATTTTCCAGCTACAAAATTATACCAATGTGAATTGACTATAAAGGCACATGACATTCGTCCAATGCATGACTTGACATAATATGGCAGAATACATTTCAGAGAAACATTTATACTAATATTTTGAGCACATTTAAACGGGAAAATGTTATACTGGATGGCACCAAGAAGTTTAGCATTCACAAGACAGCTGCTTACATTCTATCTGCCATTGTGTCAACTTATATGTCAACCTTTCAAATGTGCATTTACACAAAAGTAGCAGCAATCTTTTACAATTGCTAGAAGCCGACTTGAGATCGAGAACATTTATAAAGAACCCCCGAATATTTAAGTGTTGAGAAACAGCCAGTGGTGATGAACTAGCTAGTTTAACTGTAAAAATATCTTCTTTGGTTCTTTCGGTAAAGTCACGTAGAATGAGAATAAAATAATAAATTGATAAAATAAAATAACACAATAATATTCTCACGACGTTTCGGCCACAACACAAGCGGCCTTCATCAGGTGAAGGGACGAGACTGTCTGGAGGACAGCGCTGTCCTCCAGAGTCTCGTCCCTTCACCTGATGAAGGCCGCTTGTGTTGTGGCCGAAACGTCGTGAGAATTGTGTTATTTTAATTTATCAATTTATTATTTTATTCTCATTCTACGTGACTTTACCGAAAGAACCCAAGAAGATGAATCCTTGCAGTCACGAAAGCTTTAAATTGAAATGTAAAAATATACTGGAGGAAAATATGACATACAACACGGACATTTAATGTTATGAATGTAACCAACACTTGGGTAGGATTGTGTATTGTGGCTTACACGATTGAGAATGATGTGGCTGAAAGGTAGTTTTCTATTTAAAAGTGTTTTACCCATTTATACGTGTTAAGCTATATTTACTACATTAACATTTTCATCATATGCACCAAAACAAGATCAGTCAACTTAAAATAATTCCACAAGAGATGCGGGAGTGGCTCATGCATTTTACCTGGGATACCACAACACTTTATTAAAAAATATAGACTATACTGTAAAGTTGTATACATTTACTCATGATTCTCTACAGAAGTTAAATCTAGAACATTGGCTCAGAAGTGATATTACAATTAAAATTAGGCGAGGGAATTGTTTCTAGATTATGCACTGTTGATTCTGACAGTTCAACATACCATATCTTGTTTTTTATCTTTGAATGATTGCTTTTGGATTACAGCTGCTTCATATGGCCACTCATGAGACTTGGCAGCTTAGTGTGGTGGGATTAAATTAATGTTTATACCATTGGCGCACGAGATATTTGGTTATAGTAACACGCTATGTATAAACATTCATATACTGTACATACATTATACAACACTATATATACATGTCTACGTTTTGAGAATGGGATGTTAATGGAATATATGCATTTATATTCAGTGTAAATTCACAGGACTATGACCAAATTATCCGGAAGGTTTCGGATTTTGTCAGACCTCACGATTGTTTTAGTGTGGGCAAGTGCTTGGGGGATTAGCGACCACCATGCACAACAGGTTGTTACAGGCAGCGGGCTATGCGGTGGGCAGCAGAGGACAGGGCAGTAAAGATCCACTCCACTAATACTTGATACTCTCACACGTGTGCTAACCACCTTCACCAATCTGCACTGACCAGCATGTTGAAGTATGGTCAAATAATCTCCACAACCCACAGTGTGGAGCCCCTTATCCAGCAGTGTATTGACAAAGGGCTGTATATTATAAGTATTGGCCAATAACAAATACATGTGATGTAGTTTACAAACCGATTAGAGTCTAAGTGGCTTAAAAATAAGCACAAAACAAGTTGATGTATATATTTAAAAAATACTTTCTTAGCATCTCATTCTTAAAACATGTTGATACACAGTACATATAGAGTCGATATTCAGTGAGTTAGCTTAAACTAAACCAAAATTCCCACGATACAATAATAGTTATCCCACACTGAATTAATATTTTATTTTAGAAGTGTTTATTAGATACTCGTAATGGAAGTTCATCCAAAAAATATATCATGATAATGTATGTGTTATTGCCATTGATTTTAATATCATTGGTCATGTATCTGCAGTCAATTTGATTAAACCTATTTAAAACTCATTTGTAACAATGTAGGTTCACATGATAAATGGAATCTACATTAATGAAGACACGAGAACTAGCATTCCACTTTGCAACCGTAAAAGCATAATTTCATATGCACAATTAGTGAACGTTAAAATTTAAGCTTCATAAATGAGTGGAGTGTTTTAAGTTAATAGAAAAAAACACTTTTGATTTGCTATTCTTGCTAACGTTTGGAATCACTTTGCTGAAGTTAAAGGCAATAATAATATTGGGAATTGGTAAACAATTTTTCACGTTATATTTCCCCCTTTATAAATCATAGGCACATTAACCAACTGTTGTGGCCATCTTATATTTATTTTGGAATTTGACATGGGAAAAGCTAATACGATGAATTTAAAGATACCGGTGGCACCTTTAAAACACTAATTTCAATGAGGTCATGTGAGTGGTTCAACAGTAGTGCTGGAATTTTATCAGGCTACTTGCAGTCATATTGGTTACAATGACATTAGCTATAGCCTGTTAGTGTATGTGCTGGTTGTGAATATTTTATTAACGCATAGAAGCACTTGTCATGCGCGTGTACATTTGTATGCACATTAGTTGCTCAAGAGTAAATGTGTGCCTGCGATCAATGTGTGCGTGTCAAAGTGCTGCAAGACATCATTAGTTCATGCCCACTATGGCCACCAGGATGCGCTTGTAATCGCCACTTGTGTCCCCCTGGATCATGGTGTACAGGGTTTTCTGGTACTGCTGCAGGAAGGCTTGTTTGATGTCTTGCAGGTCAATCTGCAGGAATAGTTAGAATAAATTCACAAAAAATATTTTATATAATTGTCGTCACGTATATTTAAACTACGTCTCCAAAAGAGTATATCTCAAACCCCGGTGGCAGCTGTCTCTGTGAGGAGGGTGAATGCAGCACCAGTGAAACAATTTGGCGTTTGGGCAGTTGGGGGCCATAATTTTCTATGTGGCTTCCCAATTAAGTACGTTGTGAGTTATTTAACCCATCTCTTCTCCCAGAAACATCCTACTGCTACTTCCTGCCCCCCCCCCCCAGCTATAACCACAGGCCTACCCCAACCATTCTTTAACCTGTTCTCCTGTCACCATAACGACACCACCACTATTAAGAACACCCAACTCTATCTTAATCACCATCATCTTATGAACAATTTAACAATTGATGCAAAGCGCCTTGGAATAAGACGCTATATATGTACATCGATGTAAGATAAGATGTTCTGCTACGAGGAATTTATTGAAACTAGAGTTGTGCTCGCTACACGAGTTGACATGCCGCTCACCTCACTGCGAGAGACGATGACACGGATAAGCCCCGAGTCGTCGGTGCCGAGCCCCTTCATGGAATGAAAAAGCCTCTCGGCAAAGTACGCCGGCCGGCTGCGCACGCACTGGACTGCAAACGGAAACAGGGTGCAGCTGGGTTAAAGAGTGCACACTTCAGGAAACGCAGCTTATTGTTACCTCGTATTATGCGATGCGTTACTGCGACAGAAGGCTGTGGTGTACGGTGCCTTACCAATAGCTCTCATGCCGTCACGAATATCACCAGAGAACTCCCGGTCAATTGTGTTCACAATGTCACGTTGCGCCATCTGCAAAGAGCACAGATAAATAAATAGCTTTGTCTTTGCAAGTCATTGCTAAAGCAGGAATCTTTACATTTTTTGTTTAACTGTTACAAGACAACAATGGACAGAATTACACATTTAGGTAAAGTGTATCATTATATGCCTTGCTAAACAAACGACATATATGGTAAAACTTCATCTGTCCGACTCGCTGGGGATCGATGTACAGGCAGATATGTGAAACGGTGAGATATGTGAACACTTATAGGCAATCATAGCAGTTACACCATGCACAATACTGGCTGCGTGCGGTGAAACATTCTGGACAGACGCGGTGGTTGGATACGCGACGTTGTATTGTACGTGGATAGGCAGCACAGGGGACATGTCGACTGGACATCTGTGATACGTGGACATCTGTGATACTAGTGGACATCTGTGAAAAAAAGAGCTTCATCGCCCATCGGATGCCTCCAGAATTCCGATTCTGAGATGGTGTCCAGGTGGAGCGTACCCGGGTGTACTCATTGAAGGTGGCCTGCAGCTGTGGGAAGCTGCGACAAGCCAGTATCATGTTGAAGGTAGACTCGTCGGTTCCGAGCTTTCCCTCTCCAGCCGTGTACAGCCGCTGTGCATCGGACTGTGCTTTGCTCATGTCCACTGTCTGGGACTCATCGCGATTACCCTGTGCGCAATATAGACATTGCTCGATTAACACGGCGCACTCGGTTACAGTCACACGTGTTTGACAGATCAGATACTGGTGGATTCACTTAGTTAACAGATCCCCCCAAATGCAAGCGGATGTTGACAATGCTTCAGACTGAGAATAGGCTTTCCCCTTTTATCTGGCAACAAAACAGATGTTAAAACACCAAACTGAAACCTTTTACAACGACTCGTGTCTGCATTAACCACAATACTTGTGGTCAGAATGCAAACGAAAAACTCTGATAATATATGCATTTTTCTTAGCTCTTTCGGTAAAGTCACGTTGAAGGGAAACAATAAAACAATAAAATATATTTATATATATTTTATTATTTCCCTTCAACGTGACTTTACCGAAAGAGCTAAGAATATGAATTACTGCAGTCACGAAAGCTTTAAATCAAAATTTAATATATGCATTGTCTTTGAAACTGATTTGGTCCACACCAGAGACAGCTTTCTTTCGAGCCTAGTCTCAAACGGTGTTAGACCAGAGGACGCCAAAAGGCGTAATGCTTCGGACTTTTATTTTTTCCCCCTTTAACTGTAACTCGAGCCAGTGAATAGTTTTGGCAGGCTAGAAGCCCTGTGGAACTATTTAAGGATCTCTGATGTAAAGGAAGTAATGTTTCGCAATTGAAAACGAGGCATCATTGATTAATTAGACCACGCCTCCCATACAGTACATGTTGAGGCACCAGAAGAGGCATTTGAGATAATTAAAGGTTTAAGGTAAAAAGGTTAATTTTAAATGTATTACCACCCCCACTCAGAGGTAACAAAACAATGCACAAAAAATATATATACTCTGTAAGGAAGTTAGTTCAGACCAAATACGAAGTCTAAAAATAACACAGTAGGGGAATGTATGCAAAACACCAGAATAAATATGTGAAAATCTAAACTGTTTCCTTCTTCTTCTTCCATGCGTTTGTCCCACTAATTCAGGGTCCCCCGCTGTCCTTGCCGACCTTCTCCATGCTGCTTTGTCCTGCACCATCTCTCTTCCCGCTCCTGGGGCCACCTTGTCCGATGGCACCACATCGCCCCACCTCTTAGTCTGCCTTCCCGTTGATCTCTTTCCTTCCACTTGCATCACTTGCACCTTCTGACTCACAATTTTCCCGTTGTCTTTTCCACATGACCAAACCACACCAGCCTTTTTTCTCTCTCATCTTCTCCGAGATTTCTACCAGCACGAGTCTTCCTCTCACTTCTTAATTTCTCACCCTGTCCTTCCTGGTTAAACCCAACATTCATCGCAACCTCATCTCTGCGACTGCCATCGATTTGTCTTCCTCTTTTCTGTGCCCCAGCACTCGTTCCCATATAACAGCACCGGCCTCACCACCGTCTTTGTACACTTTCCCCTTCAGCCAAACTGCGACCCTCTTATCGCACACCACACCAGTCATCTATCGCTATTTCAGCCATCCAGTCCTTGTTCTCATCTCTCCTTCTAGTGATCCATCAGCACACATCGTTGCATTCAGCTACTTAAACTCGTTTGTCTTTATTAACTGGTCACTTCCAATTTGCAATCCTCCTGCATTATTTCCACTGAAATTTGCCACCATGTACTCCGTCTTTGTCCGACTGATCCTCAACCCATTCCCTTCAATCTCTTGCACCCAGATCTTAAAATCATCTTCCACTACCCCTCTGCTTTCACCGCATAGCACAATGTCATCTGCAAACAGCATACACCAGGGGGGGGGGGGAATTCCTCTGAAAATTTTAGTTACATTTCAGTTATTCATATGCTAACTTAAAACAAATGCCTTAAAAAAAGTACCTGGCACATGGAAATGAGGAGGCGTTTGAAGTGCCCACTGGTATCAGAGCGAATGTCCTTCTCCAGTGTGCGATTAAACTCTTCACGGTAGACACGAACAATCTCTTTAATCTCCTGGTTGGTGCGTGTGCACATGATCTCAATGAGGACCTTCTCATCCGTGCCAGCTCCCTAGAATGAAAAAAAATGTTATTAGTTCAAGGAGAAATGACTGGATGCAAATTGTCTAATCATAAAAGCGAAAATCTCACTGGAATATTAGTGACCCAGAGCAAAAGTCATTTGTGGGTTTTTCCATTTTTGTTCTACAAATCCTAGGTCACAACATAAAATGGTACCCTTTAATACGGTATCGCAGCATATATACCTTTCGTATTTACCAAATTATCTGTTCATATTTCTAAATATAATATTTCAAGAGTAAAAGACTGCATCAGTAAATATGTAAAAGTAAAGAAAACACAAACTTAATGGTAAATTAATGTAAAATGTTAATTTACATTTGAACAAACATATTGATAATTACCAAGTCAGTAGCCACTAGATTTGCCTTACTATTTGTCCATCAATCCACATAGGGTCCTATGAACGTAAACATTATGGAAGCACTATGACAAGACATGAACGACTTCTTGTACACTGCGAAATTAAACGTCATACCTTGATTGCCTTCATGAGGCTCCAAGCATCGTAGTATGTGGTAGGCATGAAAAGAGCCAAAATTATTTCCTCAAAATTACCACTCAGTTCTGACCTCAGATCTCGGATTAAGTCCTAAAAAGAAAAAAAAATCAATTAAATATATAAATAAGCACGATTATTTACAGTACCAAAAAAGTTAAAACAACATAATGCGATTCATAGATCACTTTTACAGATAGTTTAACCAATGTTACATTCGTTAAATTGAAGTACTACATGTGAAAAGTATTAGCAATGTGCAATTAAATAAAAAAAATTTAAATGACTACAAAAACCTCCGAGTTCATATAACTAAAGCATTTATTTGGCCACAAGTCAAATTTTTGGCAGAAAAAAAGCTTTTCATGGTTTCGTGTGCTGTTTTCACCTTTCCATACATGGTTTTAAAAGCCAGCTTAATCTTCTGTCGCTGATCGTTGGAACGATTTACAATTATATCAATTAGCGCTCTCTCGTCAGTGCCTGTAGAAACAGAAAAATAAAAATAAAGCAGCAATACAAAAAATATGTATTGCTCCGAGTAAAGGAATCTGGCAATAACATCAAACCATTGATTCACATCACTTGCCAACCAATCCCTAAAAGTTCAGGTTAAAGCCGAGGGTAGCATCTCAGTCAGTGATATAAATGTAACTTTTCACTTGGATTGAAGCGCTTAAATATATTTAGATCTGTGTCAGGAGCAAATAAAATACAACAAATGCAATATTTTATCTTGAAGGCCTTTGTACTTCATTTATTGCCCAATACCTCTTGCAACCTAAAGAGTACAGGTAGCACCACATCTTCAAACCTGTTTGAAAAGCATGGACAAATCATTGGATATAGGGGGTCTGAATTGGTGTGATCATTAGACAAAATGGTCACAATTAACTTAACTTTGAGATGCTGAATACATGTATAGAACTTTACACGTACATATTTATAAACACACACACAAAGCATGTAATCATCCAGCACATCACCATCATGACCAATCATGAATTATACTTTAAGCAGTTGAGAAATCAAACAATTAAACAAGCATAGCCACGTGTTACATCCCACTGCTGAAACTAGTTGGGATGAGTGTTTAAGGATAGCAGTCGACTTCTGCAGTGTCCAGAAGTGCATTTTATCACAATTCATCTGGGAATATATCAGGAGTGCTTGATGTAAACTACGGCTTACCAAGGCCCTTCATGGCACGTCTCAGCACCTCAGCGTCATCCTGGGCATTGAAGTTAGATGCAGTGTGGATTGTACCTCGTGCTACGCCACCAGCACTCGGGTACGACACCTGAGACAAGAGTCACGCACACAACGGCTCATACCGTGTCCGTCCAGTGCTCGCTGAGCTGCATTGGCTTCCGGTTGCCAAACGAATACATCATAAAGTCACACTTATATACACAAAATGCTTGCCGCAAATGAACACCACATTGCCGATCTCATCAAGCGGCATAATCTATAACGCAAACTCTGATCATCCTCGCAGCGGCTTTTGGCTCGCCATCGAACATCAAGACTGTCACTGAACACTGCATAATTTTATAATTATGCTGTATAACTGGACTTTGGCTAATAATTTAACATTTTATTAATTTCGCCACAACAATTTCAGGTTTTTACTACCTTGTCTGAGATTTAGGCAGCACCCTCCCAGCTGGCCTCAATCAGTGTGAAGCAGTGTGTATTATTATTATTGTCAGCCAGGATAGGCACACCTGAGCAGGGGTGCTGTGGGATTGCTGGTAGGCTGGTTGTGCGTAGGAAGCACCAGATGGCTGCTGAGTAGGAGGTGCTGAAGGAGCATATGATGTCGGGGGATTCTGGTACATGCCACCTGTGTGCACGCACGCACACACACAAATACCAATATATATGTGAATGGATATAGACCTACACAACTAGTCAAAGGTGAAGTCGCAGGATCCCGAGTGATACGAGCGCCATCTCGTGAGTAAAAATAAGACCCGTTACCCAAATTCGCAACAATGCATTGGGAAATAAGGTTGTTCAAAGCAGAGCTCACATTGTCATGTGGGGAGTTGATTAACGTTTTTATTTATGACACTTGTTTTCACTTTATGTTATGCCTATGACAACCCAGATGGAACCCTATCTTGTCAGATCTTGCAAGCTAGGCAAGGATTTTGAGCTCTGACAGTGCTGGGGTGGCCGATCGCCATGCACACAACCTGGTGTTGCAGGCTGCTGTAGGGGGCAAACACATCGTCAGCGTTAATTGTTGCACTGTGCTCACACCTCTATGCTTGCCGCCTTCACCAACCCCTATTGACCAGGGCGGTGGAGCGTGGTCGGGTAACCCTCGTGACTCGCAGTGTAGCGAGACCTTCACCCAACTGCGGATTTATGAAAAGACTGCATGACTAATTGTATATGAAGAGCTGTAAAAAGCCCCGGCACAAAGAGCATTATATATAAAAAATTGACATACACTTTAAATCAGTGTTAATCAGTTGTAATCTGCAATGTAAATTAGGTACAATAAGAAGAATCTTTGTCTGTACACAATAATTATAACGAGTGACCATGAATGGGGATTGAGTAGCGTCAATGGTTCTAGTATGGTCCAAGAACCTATTGACCTGAAATCAATTCCTGGCTACAGCTAACATCAGTGGTGATACCTGAACTTATCCTGGGCTTCTGTCACCAACCCACACATTCCAAGTATGGTCAAACAACCCTTAGGACCAACACAACTTGGTTTGGTGGAGAGGTATGCAACCAGCAGAGAATTGACAAAGGGGCTGAACACGTTTTGTTAAAATTGTATACAATTATAACAGGTATTGAATGTCTCATGATACGTGTACAATAAATCATATTGCAATTATGAAAACATTTGAAATTTCAGCCTGAAAACAACATGACCACCCCCTTTGACAATACTCCATGAATCATTTAAAAAAAAACTGAGCTTTCAATCGGTTGTATTTTTTGTTAACCCCAACACACATTGCATTTTACAAGCAGTCTCACGTTGAACATGTGCCGCAGCCAACAGTGAAGGATGTGCCCTGCGTCGTATGATGGTGTCTCGATTTCCTACTTCATTCATACGATTGATGTAGATGCAGCAACAACTGCAATTTCACATTTAGGTGGTCAAGCCAGATAACCGTGTCAGGAGCAGCGGAGTGTATCGCTGCAATGTCTCCTTCGTATTTGTGCATCACGTTGTGATGTTGTATGGTCTGTTCTGGATGACCAGTCGTACACTGGGGATTTTTTTATTTTCCATTTGTGCATCAGGTATCCGCTGTGCTGGAGCAAGTGTTACCTTGTGGACCGGGTTGAGGGGCTGCCTGATAGCCAGGTCCTCCAGGGGGCGCAGAGTAGCCACCACCAAAGCCACCGGCAGCAGGGCCTACACAATCACACGCGCGGGAGTTGAGGCACAATCGAGTACAGCGGTACTCCCTCCACTCAAGTGGCATCGTACCTCACCAACCATGCATGCATAACACAACCGCGAGCAATTCCTTGTGCAAGAGACCACTTCGAGTTAAAATCGTGTAAAAGCAATACACAATTCGCCGTTCTCTATAATCAGAAAGTAACTAAACGTCAATCCAAATGTTATTGGATCTATTACAGTGGTATTTTAAATAATTAAAAAATATTGAAAATGTGTTACTTTCTGATTCAATGCATTGTTAGTGAGTATACACATTCATTATACAAAGTGTGGCCAATGTATACCTGGAGAAAAACATTTGAATTTCACGTGAACATGCTTCACAAAATGTTAATCCTGCAATGAAAACTCGATATTCATGAATAATGGAAACTTCTGCAACAGCCTGCTATAACAGTATAAGGTGAGTTTATTTTCTTAATAATGAAAACAAAGGTTTCAGCAATATTGTTTACTGAAAAAGGTGGCATGTTTCCCACCAATAACTTTTTTTTATAAAACACAAACACTATTCTTTGGGTCTTTTGGTAAAGTCACATAGGTTGTTATTTTCTTTCAACCTATCTATCTAGGTGACTTACCGAAAGACCCAAAGAATATTAATTCCTGCAGTCACGAAAGCTTTAAGTCAACACAAACACTGGTTAAAATGCAAACCAAATTATTTTTTAAATTGGTTTGGAAGTGTTTTGTTTATTTGTCTATTGTAGGTTGTGCATTTGAACGCAATGCATTAACTCGTTGGATGGTTTAAAGAAATTGGTCTGGTGGATGCACTTTTAACCATTATATTTAGATCACTAACATTGCTGTATATAGTGTATGTAGAATAGTCCATGCTATTCTATGGACATGGACTGCAGCATATATATTTCACATTAAAAAACATGGAGGGGTATATGGGTCACAATGCCCCAATCCAGAAAATATGACATTCTCCGTATTCAATTAGCATCCATAAATATTTTCTTGCATGACGTTTTAGAGTTTAGACCATGAACACACACACACAAAAGAATGTCGATAAAACGTGCACACTCAAAACACAAATTGCGCACCCATGTGTGACAGTGCCCAAATCCTCACAATGAAAAAGGTAAAACTGCAAAAGCAGTGGCTGGCAAACCAAAAAGGGGAAATGTTCAAGTTTCGGCTTCGGTCATATTAATCCAATTAAAAATACTGTGTACGAGAATAAAAACACAATTCGAACATGCAAAAGGCCAGTCAGGAAGCAGAATGTATTAACCAATATGGAAATAATTTCCATTAACGTTTAATTACAATTGTCAAAGATGAGAGGATCCCACACTTTTTTGTACAGATCATGAATAGAAAATTAACACTCCATCTGGGATTGCCAGTCAAGGTGAAATAAAACGAATGTCTCGGGATGAGAGTGGATGTACAACCCTTCCAGAAGAGTAGTTCTAGCCCTGGAGATGAAGATAGGAGACATAAAAAGATAGCAAAACAAAGCAGAGTACAGAAGCATTAGCTAAGAAGCAAAACACGCTACCCTTTGTTTTTTAGAGCTTTCCAAGGCATCTAATACATTATTAAAACATGGCAGGGGTGGTGTAAACAAGCTACTAAACAAGTGAAATCCCATTTGTTGCCAATTTGTGTAATGTTTTTGTAATATATTCAATGAAATTACATCGGAATTACTTTCATGTTGAATATTAACATAAAAAATAAATCAGTCACTGTGAAACACATTCTACATGTCAACATAAAGACATTATTGTACAGCAAAGTATATTATTTCTAAAGGTATTTTTCTTAAACCGTCTGCATTAATCTCTTAAGTGGCAAAATTAGGTATTAAGATGAAAGGCGACTAAAGTTATTTGAAGAAAAGTGTCGACATCGGTTTCTATTATAATCAGCAGCACATTCTCAATCGACTGTTGGATGAAGGCCTCCCAACATTTGCCATTTTTCATGGTTTTGCAATGTCATAATAAATCTCATGCCTCCAAAAAGAGGTAATCTCATCTCTACAAACATGGTTATCATCCTCAAATACATTCCCTCCTTTGGCTGTTATTCCATCATTATGTGATGTATCGTGACCAAACACAGCTTTACATAAGATTTACCAAACTTGCATGTCTCAGATCTGTTTCTTTCACTCGATAAATCCCAGAATGTGTATTTCCATGTCTGTATATTTTTGGTTTTAGGTCTATTCTATATGAGAATGTGTACAGATATCCAATGTTATAGGAGGAAATAAACATGGAAAAAAAGTGTAGTCTTTTAAAAAGTATAGTCGTACGTTGATTTTAATGATCAAATTACATTAAAAAAACACAACCTACCTCAAGCTCGCCTCTATTTAATACCCTAAAATTTGCCGCTATATACATCATTTTTCCAGTAGTCCAAAACAACTTCTAAGTACGTTGTGTTTTGCTCATTTATCCTTAACTCAACCTTACAGATTCTTGTTCTTCAATCATATCTTGAAGCGTATGGAGTCTATAGTATATTTGCCTCTCAAAATACATTGCCCATAATAATAAAACATCTAATTTGGCGTTATATTATTCAAAGGATGTGCTTCAACAATACTACTCAGCATGTGTAATTACATCTGCATGTATTTCACACTCGGCACAACTTGTAAAAAATACAATTAGTGTGCAATTGCATTACACTGTGTGTAACAAAGTCAAGATTAGCTCTTCAATGTGCTTTAGTTCTGGATGATGTCCGATGTTTCACTCCACATACTGCAAGCTAAACATTGCACATCATGCCGAACACCACCTTTTACCATACAACCCAATAACACATAAGTGAGCTATACAGAACAATAGCAAACACATACGAAGTAAATTAAGGTTTAAAGGCTCACAATAGTTAATGTAAAATTCTTCGAGGGTCCACCTTTCAATGCAATACATGACAGCACTCACTGGCTTTGGCAATCAAGTATTATACTGCACATATCTATGTGTTTTAATAATTCAAATATGACCCTTTGCACACACGTGTTTATCCAATGAAGAGCTATGTTGCTTTTTCAGGTACACTGTGCTTACTCTTTTGTGATAAAACCTCAGAAGTAAAATTTGAATGTCTGTGCTACCAAACGCGATGTCAGTTGAAATAAATTGTATTCATATTATGACCTTTAAATGATGTTATAGATCTTCCAGCTGTGAGAAATTAGTCTAATTTAAGTAAAATAATTAATTAAACCCCTACTGAAAATACAAAGGAAAAAGGAAGCACACACAACAGATCAGTATAGTACTTCATTTATTAAATTTCTAAACATTACATAGTATTGAATTGCAAAGAAATACACCAAGATACATTAAATCAGCAAAATGATTACAAGATTAATGCCACAAGTCTACCACGAGAACACTAATTTTGAGGAGACGTTTTACCATATAGCCAGAAACAGCGTGATTTTTCAATTTAAATGCCTTCACAAAAAAGCAACTTCACAGACAAGCTTTGGGTCATTTAAAATTAACATTAGTGCATTCTAAATGGCATACGATCTTTGGCACCAGTGGAACTAGAGCTAGGTGTGTGAGCCAGAGTGGTCGTGTGCTTTTTTGCAATATATTTGTAAATGGCATACATGCAAAGGTAATTGGTTTAGAGTGTTCGTATGAACAGCCATTTAAATATAACAGCATTAATTAAAAACAGGTTTACTAAAAGCTATATACAATATTCGGCCCCAATGAAATCAAGGCAAAATATTTTGTGGTGTGTAGATTTAATTTAATTGGTGCAAGAGTTCAACATGAAACAATAATTTTTTTGCATTAATCTAGGGCCAGATCAACCTAATTTCCACATTTGCATAACTATTAATAAAATTCTACAATAACCATATGTTTTAGTTGGCAATAATTGTGAGCACCAGGCAAAACAAAGTATATAAACATGGATATTTGTATTTTTTATTAATCATTTGCCAACTTTCAAAGTTAAATTCTACTGAACAAAATTACTTTGTTCAAAGCTGACCTGAATCAGATTGTTGAAAATATTTATAGCCAATTCCGTATCCATGAAGTAGATAATCATGTATGTTTCTTGTTGGTATCAAAATTCCATAATTATCCCCAGGTTAAATGGACTTTACTATGCATGTTGAACTTCTTTCACATTGTACATAGCCCACCGCACTAATCAGAGGTGATTGCAAGCAAGTCTCTAAATATTTATATAATTAGTAGTTTGTATAACTGGATTATCAACAATATAATCGAACCTTTTTGCTGAAAAATACATGGGCCAGTGGACAATCAAATGACAGAAATTGGACCAAGAATAATTCACATCCAAGTGCCTGGCTACATGTCTGTACATGTGAGAATGATCTACATTTGCAACACTTTCCTGTACAGGACAACAACAGAATTGGGTGAAATGGTTTCGGAACTTAAGCAATAATGGGTTCAGTTGAATGTTTACAAAAAAATCCCTCTAAACAATGAAAACCCCTTAAACGTTTTATTACTCCCAAGTCATCATCATCATCTGATTTGGCTATATGTGTCCCATTGTAATTCTGCAAGTATAAATTTAACACCCATAAAGAGAGAAAGTCAGGGGATGCACTGTTTGGGGAAAACACATGTTGACATGTTTGCCTGCAGGCATAACATTGTAAGAGACAGCTTTAAAAAATCCATGCAAAAAGAGAATTGTGCAACAGTGCCTCCCTTGTATTCACATCACTGCCAAAGACATATCACAGAATACATGAAACACACATATATTACACACACACGTGTACTTGAAATTCACCAACTAGTTATCAATGTCTGTCAAAACACAATCATTATGAGCTATGTATGGGTGTTCAATTAAATTAACCTTGAGTTTTAAAAATATATCATAACTTTACTCGTATACCATGCATACTTTGGGATACATATAATTTACTGCGGTTTCCACCTGAAGACGAAAGCTTGTGTTGCCTCCGAAACGTCGTGATTTAATTGTTTTAATTTATTTTACCTACGTGACTTAACCGAAAAAAAACAAAGAGTAGGAATCCTTGCAGTCACGAAAGCTTCAAATCTAGAATGCGATAGCCTTGTTTCCTTTTAAATTTGAAGATCAATTTCACATTACTTTAGCTACTGACAGAGTATTCAAACCAGCACTGACCAGAATGGTGACGTATGGTCAAATAACCCTCAAGACTGACAGCTTTGGGAGGTCTTCTTGACCAAAGGTTGTACATTATATGGGGAATATTAAAATGAAAGTAATGTGTGCTGTATAGTACTGTGATTTAGCTTAATTTGAATATTTTTGGACAATAAGGAAAACATGTTTAAGTACATGTAGCAATGGTATAGCCGAGTAGAATTATGGTATTTCATGAGCATGGAAAAATATGACACCTGTGTATATTGTGAAAATTACAGTTATTTAAAGTGCCTAAACAAACTATAATTGGAATCTAACATATTATGTACACTAAATTCCAAATATTTGTAATCACAATAAAGAACATTTATAGTCTTAAAAAGACGCACCATTTCATATCATGGCAATATTGTTCAAAGTATGTCCTTGAGTTTCACGGCTGACTAGAGTTAAAGGCATTCAGGTTGCTTAACAATTAATAAAGGATCTGCTTCATGGGAGGCACTGGATTCAGTATCCACCTGTTTGAAAGACATTAACAATGTATGTTTTATTTACAGATCAATGTAAAATTTTACACAACTTGTTAGCAATCATACAAATGTGATATTTTGGCCAAGTTTCTATAAACAATTGCATGATTAAGATAAATAAATTAAAACACTATTACTGTAATTGTGCATAAAGCATGGGTCATGATCATACCCAGGATGTACAATGTTTAAGTATTTTCAATGTGAATAATATGCAACCTGTACAATAATTCTCATCAGCGTACATATACAGTAGAACCCCAATTATCTGAAACTGTTTCATTGTGTCTTGCATATCATCAGGCATTTTCACAATATACCGAGTTGAAAAATCATGAACACTTGAAAAGCAGTTTGATTTACAAAGCACATTGGGAAAGATGCTGATGTGTTTATAAAAACAGGCTATTCGAATTTTCATCAGGCTATTCTCAACGTCATCTCCAGTCGAGGTAGAAATTCTTGAAATTCATTATACTCTTGTACAGCAGTTGCATAAGGATTCCACGTGACGCAAAATAGTCACTCAACTAAAACAGCAGACATTGAACTGCTGTATAAATGTTGAGTCCATAAGCCCTCGGCTGAGCAACAGTTGGGAAAAAACTATAACATCCAGCTGTGGGCATTTCCTGAGAGTTAAACTAAATAAATTTCCTTTATAAATCCAGATCTGATGACATTTATAGCAATTGGTGCAACAAAAAGAGTTTGCCGAGAATCTTTGGCTGAAGCATGGAATTCAACTCGCAGAAATAATCAGAAAATCCTGTGAATCGGTTTTCCTGAAAAGGCGTGCTCCAGGGCATCTTGAGAATACAATTCCACAAGTTGTATTTTCTTGGAATATTTGAGAAGCATGATTTGACAATTTTTTCTGCAACCATGCTGAAGCAGGTCATCTGGCTTTAAAATCCTTCTTGCTTCAGATCCGGAGTATTATGAATTCACCAGCTTGGTCAAACTTCGATGCCACAATGCTTCATATTTCAGCCCCAGAGAACATTCCAAGGTGGAGTAAATCCTGGTCACTTGCAAGACCACACCATTCAAAATTTCAGTGAAGTAATGATGAAACCATGCTACCTACATTCAGAAATGTGCTCAACAGTGATGGTAAAATTGACTCTTTAAAACAGGCTGTAATAGAATGTTGTCTTTTCCTCTATTTGTTCCTTCTCCCAATGTAATCCATAAGGCTGACTTACCAAAAACAAAAATACATAATGCAATATTAGAAACTCCTAAATCTGCACATTTTCATTATGTGCTTATTCTTTAGAGACCTAATTCCCATTAGGCAACTTGTCCGCATAGACTTACAAAACCACATTTGTAGACAGGGCTATTTGGTACCATTCATTAGTAAACTAGACATTTAGTAATCCCTTTTTGGAATCCACTGCTGGATAGGGGCCTCCCCATTTAGTTCAGCTTTTGGAGATTCTTTGACCATACTTAACCAAGCTGGTCAATGTGGGTCAGAGGCATGGGAGAATATAAGAGCAACATATCTTTCTGCACTGCCCTTTGCTGCCCACAACATAGCCCCATATGCCCAAGATGATAACTTGTTTGTATACGGTCACCGTCATAGGAAATTATTTATTACCATTGTATGAAGATTTCTAATAAATATATTATCATGAAATAATTATGCCATGACTAAGTAAACATTTACAGAAAATTAAGTCTGTAAAGTATTATATTTTCTGCTCCATCTACCTTACTGGGTGCTTATTTAAAAGGTAGAGCCACATTCATCCACTAAGAATTTGAAGTGATATGGGGGTGGGTTAAGCTTGCTAATGCCTATCAACAACCTTCATTAGTGTATTCAGTAATGTATTAATTAATACATTTATTCAAACTCTGTCATTGCTTTAATGGCACAATCATGGCACCAATTAAAAAAGAAAGCGAAAGTGATGGACATGTAAAAAAATAGAAAAACTTTTTAACAAGATATCACAGATGGTGAAATGTTGACAAAGAAATATACAAGACAGTACAGTTCTGTTTCTTCACCTGAGGAAGGCTACCTGTGTTGTGGCCGAAACGTCGTGAGAATTTTATTGTTATATATTTTTATTATTTTATTGTTTCCCTTCTACGTGACTTTACTGAAAGAACCAATGATATGAATCCCTGCAGTCACGAAAGCTTTAAATCAAAATTTAAGACAGTACAAGTCAATATATAAACTTCCTTAGGTATTTCAGCAGCTCGACATCATTACAAAAGCATATTAACATGTTTGTGTGCTTAAAATGGCTTGGGTTAAACGATTACTGATATGATCATAGGCGTTTCCTTTTTTCTGGCAACAAAACAGATGTTAAAACACCAAACTGAAACCTTTTATACAAGGAATCACGTCTGAATTGACCACAATGCTTGTGGTCAGAATGCAAAACAAAAAAACTGACAATATATGCATTGTCCTTGAAACTGATTGGTCCACACCAGAGACAGCTTTCTTTTGAGCCTCGTCTCAAACGGTGTAAGACCATAGGACGTCAAAAGGCAATGCACTATCAGAGTAATGAGATCTCGGGGTGAGCATCTACATCATGGGACCTCCTTTGCCAGTACCAAAATAAGTTTTCCCCTTTTTTCTGGCAACAAAACTATTACTATATTTATTTTACCATGTAAGGCACAGAGCTTTTTAGCTATTTTGCAGAAGCGACCTCGCCACAAATGACTGCTCAACTAAGTGACTCATTACATTTCTAAGAAAAATCCACGCGACTACGGGGAAAACATGCAAACTCCAAAATAAACAGGGGGTTAGGGTTGGGATCGAACCCACGACCTCCTGCATACCAAGCGAGGTAGTTCACATCTCGCCACCATGGCACCCCACATATGCAAGCAGCACAATATCCATAAAACCCAACCCATGTTTCATTCCCATTAAACTTTTCAGCTGCAAGATTTTTTACAGATTAAAACATGTCCATGTCTACATGTCAGCAGAACTCACCAGTAGACATGGGGGCAAAGGTTCCATAACATCAGCAAATGATACCGCATCAAGAACTTCAATTGCTCTTCCAAACACAATACTTGAACTAGGATTCCAATAAGGAATGGTATTGCCTCCTATACCCACATTGTTTTCACACTGGCACTGCCATGGCAATTTATATAGAATGAAATACTGGCATTGATCCATGTTGCAGATATATTAACTTAAATTTGCAGGTAATTTGGCTTGACAGCACATGCAGCCGTGCAAAGCAAAACATGTTTTAACAGGAAAACAACCAGAATAGGAATGCAGTACTTACTGTACAGATACTACAACGCAAATGTGAAACGTATTTTCTAAATTATTTATATCTACAAAAGCTGAAAATAGCATTGGGCACTGTCAAATTCCCTTTCCGGAATTCTCTTCCACTGGCCATCTGCAGTCCAGGCTCAATACATTTCTCTTCTATGCTACGTATGACTTCTGTTCCCAAAAAGCAGCTACATTTGCACTTCAACTATAACATCTTAAGTCCCTCTCAGGCTTTTTAGCATTTTCTTTCCCTAAAAAAAATAACCCTTTTCTTAAAATGTATCTTATTGTGCATACTTGAACAATATCTTGAGATAAACCAGTGGAATTAAGTCCAAAGTTTATTGCATTACTGTACTTTTTTTTTAAACAGTACATACTCTATTTTAATCAGTCGGCTGGAATGAAGGACAATACAGGTGGACCATGGAAATGGAAATAATAAGGAAAGCTGCATTACATCTCTCGGTAGAAGACAGGCAGCAATGTGTGAAGTTGCCAGTGGATGGCAGGACATTCGCTAGTGGTAGCAAGAGACCAGTAGAGATAGAAGTGAGGGTGGAAGTAGCATTGTCTAAAGAGCATTAAAAAATGCACCATAAACAATTATCAAGTAATATATTACAATCGGTATTGTTGCCATGAGTGCAATACACGTGCATAATCATGAGTTTTCATGTGGAAAACATGAAACTTGAGGTCTTTATTTGGGATCAGCCCAAAACATGATAGTCCTTGTGACTAATACAATTTGATCAAACAATGCCTACACACTTGTATATTTCAGTGTTGCTGTGAGCTTAGCGTTCTTAAAAAAAATCTTCTACATTTACAAAAATAAAAGTTACACAAAACCAAATGAAACCAAGACACACAAACAAGTCAAGATTACCAAGTTTTCTGATAATCGGGGTTTTACTGTATACCTGACTACAAAGTCCAAAGCAGGTTGCACATTTCCAAGATGCTGTACTGACAAATGAAATTCTTAAGCACACTACATACTACATGGCCGATACAAAACTGTCCATACCTGGATACTGGGGGCCTGGAGGACCAGCGCCATAGGGGGGAGCTCCGGGCGTAGGATAGGGAGCTCCGCCAGGGTATCCACCTGCACCGGGCTGCGGCGCGTATTGGCCTGGGTTGGACGGGTTGTATCCCGCCGGTCCGGTTGGGTAGCCCCCGGCAGCTGGGTATCCAGCTCCAGGCTGCTGTGGGTACTGAGGGAAGGAGCCCGGAGGCTGCCCGTACGGCCCTGCCGTGGGCTGGTAAGCGCCTGCGTTGGGTGGGTACCCCCCAGCGGCGGGTGCGTAGCCACCGGCTCCGGGAGGGTATGCGGCCCCGGCCGGAGGGTACGCTGCTGCCGAGCCCGGGTATCCACCTGGCCCTACTTGGGGGTAGGCAGCGCCCTGTGGGAGGTTAGAAGAAAACGTGGCACCGTTATAGTGTCGCAGCACCTTTCGTGGCTCGCGCCCTGGGGATGAGGACTGCAAAATTCAGGATTACACTCCTGGTGGAAGCAGTTGAAATTTCAGGCCACTTTTTGATGCACTGCAGCCAGTGCCCCCACCTAGTAACAGTACAACTGCAGAGTTAATTCGAGGAATCCTTTTGGCGAGATAAACAGATGTGAGCACAAGTGTGCTTGATGAATTGTTTTTTTGCTGCAAATGTAAAAATAATCAGGGAAGCAACAAAGTACATAAAACATGTAGTTAATTTGTTATAAGTGAATAGCCATTGTACCCAAAATATACATTTGCATATGTAACATAGAATAACTTGTAACGGAATAATGGGATTTTAAGTCACTTTAAAATTTGGAAAACGTTGAAACTGACCACTTCAGACCAATTGGATATTTTTTTACAAGCATATTATCTCCAGTAAATAAATTAACTATTTTTTTCACCAGCTGTTATTCATCTATACATTATTGTACAGTATATGAGTTTATAAAACACCCATATCATGTCATTCATTTCTGTAAGATTATTAGTGATAAATGCATTGATGTGAAAAAAATGTTTATCCTTTCTGGCACTAAAAACAGGTGTTAAGGATGTTAAAACACCACACAGAAACCTTTTGCAGGGATTAAAAAACACACACTTGCGGTGAACATGCAAACAACCATGCTCTGATAGTTTTAAAGAAGATGCATATATTATCTGACTGACCTACACCAGAGACAGAAGCCTTCTTTAGGGCCTAGTGTCAGACCAGAGAACGCCAAAAGGCGAACAGTATAAAAAGAATGCACTATCGAAGCATTTAAAGCTCGGGGTGAGCGGCTACAAAATGGGACCTGTTTGCCAAAAAGGTACCAAATGCATCCATTTCTACAGCACTGAATGTAGCCACTTCAGTGGTTATGAATAAATCACTTACTTTCTTCCAAAAAGTAAAGCTATTATAATATTATACACTGTCAGTGTTTCCTGCTTCATGCTGTAAACTCCTTATTGATCGAACCATATTTATTTTGGGGTTAAGCCACGTGGTAGTTTTTAAGCAAAAGGTTCCACCATCTGACAATTGCAATGTTTACAAATTTAAACTTATCCTTTCCCTCATTACATTCTGACCAAAAGAGATAACCAATGGCTTTTGCCTGTTAATGGATAAATTCAACATATGACATTGCACTTAAAACTGCATTTAGCTTCCTTATCAATTATTGTAGTTGGGCGACCCATACATTTTCAAGTACACCAAAAATCTAGTCCATTGCAGGGATTATGTTCTTGAAACTAGCATCAAAAATCGGCAAATTCACAAACCGCAAACTCAAAGGCATTGTGAAAAGTAGGGTTTGGTTCGCAGTTCGTAAGACGACAACCCTTCCTTTTGTTACCCTACATTAACCGAAAAATGAAACGGGATGTATTTATGTAAATTATTAATCATTTCTGCAGTATTAAATATAAGTTGCACAGCAAAATAAAGATAAGGTTAATGACATACATACACTAAATATTATGCAGTTAAAAAAAAGTTACTTATATTAATGAATATGGCGTGTGTATTCTTATGCGACAGCATCACTGCGAGTAGTGCAGTTAGGAGTATGGTACTTTAGAATGCACTATACAACCATTTAGTGGTCAACCACAAATGGCCAAGCCACAGGGACACGATCAGCGAGCTCTACCTCAAGGAGATTTGGCACGAATAGTAAAACCCGCGATGGGCGAAGAGTATCTTAGTACAATTGTAAAACAATGTACCAAACAATTACATGTAGAACACATTTGTCAGTTCACTGCAGGATGAGTGCCTCCCCACTCCAGGGTTGAGCATACTTCACCATACTGGTCACTGTGGGTTTATGGGAGGCCGGGAGAGTACAGAATGGCAATGGATTTTGCTGCACTGACCTCGACATATTGCCCAATGTCAAGCGCACTTGTTTTTTTGTGCTTGATAGTTGACCATGCAAGTACAGCCTAGGCTCAACTCTGTTAAGCTTTCGAGGTCCGAGGGGATCGAGCACATTCCTGGTGATTTTTTTCAGACGCACCAAACACGTATACAAAACGGCTTGCAATAATGCTTATCGAAAGAGATGTTTCTTGAAGAGGAGAAATGTGTTTTTACTTCAGAGCATGTTTATCTCCGAGTACAGTGTACAGTAATGGAGCACAAGTAGGCTCCAGTAATGTGTACAACTCAAATAGAACTGGAAACCACATAGGCACACCCCGACAATCTTTCCGTTTCGTAAGCGAGCTTCACCGATTGGACCATTTTGCCGCGACTATTCCCACCCCCTAAATACTTTTTCGTTGAAAAACTGTCAGCTTAGGCTTTAACTGGTTCCAGGCAAGTGTTTTTTTTATTACATAATCAGAGCCAGAGTAGTGTGGAGAGTTGAACTTTTGAGGCTGAATGCTATGCGAATAATTTGCTCGACTCAGACCGAGGGGCCCTTGCGGTCAGATACATCATGCTCCATAAAGCTAGTTGAAAACACATTGCTTGTATGTCCCGAGATATTTCTAAAATCTCAGTGTAAAATCGATTTGTATTTATTAACTGAACATAAAATGACACAAAACAATACGATCTCTAGTGTCCGATGACAGAGTGCGAGAGGCACGGCACGTTCTCTTGACACACACACACAGAGGGCAGCGAATGACATGGCAAACTTGAGTCACATTTTCCACCAACACCCTCAGTTCGGGCAAATCCCCAAGTATGTTGCCATCGTTCCAGTTTACGAGGTCTAGACATTCTGTGGGACGCTCATCGCAACCAATCTTTGCATCCGATTGACTTCAAAAAGCAGCCTATTTTAAATTACTTAATGTTAGCAACATTTATGGTTGAGCACATAAATGTATTTCTAGATCACTTGAGTTATATGGAACGTTTCCACATACAACATGGTAAGGCTGTCCGAAACAGATTAGTGCTGCATGACGAAGCAGATTGATAATGCACCTGGGTTTACTTTACAGTGCCGTGTCCCACGTTTGTCAAACTCCCAACTCTCAAAATGTAGGTACAGTATGGGTGCGGCGATAATAGTAAGGGTCTGTGGGATGGAGTAGAGCTCACCAGTACAGTGCTGGAATTTAAGGGAGGGTTGTACTGCTTGAGCGCCATTGGTTCGGATGTGCGTTACAACCAAATTTAAATACAAGGCTAATAATATACCAATGCCCACAACTCCCTTCACCACACCATATGCAGCCATGTATGTTAAAGCGAGTGGTGGTGTGGTAAAGCTTACTGGATATCCTGGAGCTGGTTGGTAAGGGCTGGGGTTTCCACCAGGGTAGCCGGGATAAGACATCCTGTAAAACATAAAAAAACCTCACAAAAATGATTGTGTGCTTTCATGTGAAGCATTTGAAAAAAACAGTACATTACCAACATTTAAATCCAAATGTCTATTATATATCATAGCTAACATTAATATTAAAATTGGCAATTAAGTCATCCTCTTATGCCAACAAGGGTATATCTAAAAACACTTTATATCGGCCATACCATACTTGCATTAATCTAAAATGACCCTCAACGTCTTGCAAAAAAAACTATGAAGATTAGCATTTTCATTCTGTATGCCAATGATTTTTCTGCTGACATTTTGAGCCAAGGTAGAACATGTTTTGGTCGGTAAATATTACTTTATACAACACAGCTATAATGAGGAAAAGGCTAATACTGTACAGACTAAAGCCATTCAGGAAATGCTACATTCTTAAACACGAACAGGGCCCCAAGACAGTAAATGCATTTAATTCCGTGGTGAAAGAGTAGAAAGAACACATGCAATGTTTTTTTTAATTAAACGCTATTCAGTATCATCTTGCAATTTATACGCGATTCAAATATTTTGCTATAACTACACATGCATTAAATTTGTGAAACAAAATGCTTGCCCCACTCTCTCTAGCCCAAAGGGCTCGCTGGCCTTGGTCATTATATTGAAAATGCTGTGTCAAATACATTAAAAGAAAACACTTATTTGGGGATATCCATGATTTTTAATACATAACTGAACCGAGCCAGACACATTAAATCCTGAACCCAACAGGCAAATTCACAAGCACGCAATTAATACGCAGGTGGAAGGGCATTTACAATGGCCAACCTAAATAAAGGGTTGAACCACTATAGGTGTATGTTATTCAATTGTACCTTTCTGTGGGTAATTAACATATTGAACGAGTGGCGCTGAATGGTCTTCCATTGGCAACGGGATGGCGTGAATAGCCAGAGCAGAAACACTTAACCAAATAGGAAATTACCACTTCCTTCACAAAGTAAAGCGTCTTTGTTTTGGTGCATTTCAGAATCCAGAAATGACAAGACACCATGAATTATCCATAGCCACCCCCCTTGCTTAACATTGTAGCTTTCTCCATGGTGGATTATTTAAGCACCGCCACACTCGGCGTATTATTCGAGCACTACATTACCCGCAAATGCGGGCCAGAAATCAGCGAATTATTTAACTTGTAGGAGGTGTCATGGTGTCTGTTACAAATGAGTCCAGGTGTAAGCAAATTGCATAAACACTAGGAGGCAGTCAAAACCGTATGGCGTGTGTATACATACAGTACATAATACAGTAGAGTACAGGGTGTACCAAGTCTGTGCACTACGTACTTAATACACACAATACCGCAGTGACATGCAATAGTAAACATAATGAAGCCAGTGACTGTGCAAATAACGTACAAATATAAAGGAATATGTACGGTAAGGGGCAAGCCAAATTAAAACTGTAAATTAAAAGACGATATCTTATATTCCTTGGGTCTTTCAACAAAGTCACGTAGATGGTTATTTTCTTTAAACCATATTTTTCTTTGAACCACCTACGTGACTTTACCGAAAGACCCAAGATTCTGAATTCCAGCAGTTACGAAAGCCTTTTTTAAAAAAAAGCCAAATACATTTCTAAAAAAAAATAAAAACTTCGTGTAATTATTACAACAAAGCAATGCAACATTATGAGACCTCCTTTGCCAGTAACAAGATATTGCAACGTTCAATTTGGCGAATTGCGAATTCCGACCGCAGCCATCTCGGGCACGGCGTCGTCACACAAGCACCCCCGGTAACGCCCAAACCAAGCAAACCTTGCAGCCCCCCCCCCTTCGGCATTAACGTCCGCTACGCAGAGCGCACACACAAACACACACAAGGACGAATAACAAGACGATTAAAGTCAAATAAATAACATCTTGGCCGAGGCTTTGGAATCGAGCCCCTTGGTAGCCCGTAGCGAGTGAGGCGACCCTAACCCAACCACCTCGGCCACAAACAACGGACGCGGGAAAACCCAGCGACGATGGTTGAGAGACACACAGCGACGATGGTTGAGAGACACACAGCGCGAACAACCACCACCACCACCCCCCTCACCACCACCGCCGACTTACAACCAACACAGACGACAAACATCGCCAACAAAAACCAAAGCCGAGCCGAGCAGAGACCGCGCGCACGCCGCGGGGCTTGAGGGGCGGTGGGACGCAACGAGGTCGCGTCGGAGAAGTGCGCCTTCGCTCACCTGCTTTTTGACGACGTGAAACGGCGAAGAGGAGGAGGAGGAAGACGAACGAACGAGCGAGGACGACGACGACGATGATGAGGAGGGAGCTCACAACGACGATGACGACGAAGTCGTCAAGATGGACTCTTTTAAAGGGAGCTCGCGGAAGCGCGCGCGAGCGAATCCCGTGCGCGCGATTGGTCCAGCGGGCCCCACGTGACGGCGCGGCACGTTACCACAGTGGTGGGAGGGGCGCGCGCGGGCAAGCGGTGGGGGTCGGGGAAGCGGCCATTGTTGTCAAGGAACAGCGAGGAGGGGGAGGTGGGTCAAGCGGTGAGCGTAGGGGGGAGCGGCCATCTTTGTCAAGGAAAGCGGGAGGGGGGGGGGATGACAGCTTCCGGTCCGTGACGTCACACGGCACCCGTTGTTTACTGTGGGTGGAGGCTCAAAGCCCTTTTTGGACCCCAATGCGTTTATTAACTTTCAACGATGTGAGTTCAACAGCCACCCCCGCCTCCGAAGAAGCTTAGAGAGCTGAATTTGAGTTCAAAAGAGACTCGCAAACAAACACCACCATTTAACACGTGGTGTTAGGCTTTCGCGACCAGTAGTATTCATAATAAAGGTTTATTATAAATGCGTTGCAACCCTCCACCACCGGACACGGCCAATCAGTCAAAAAATGTGTCACGTTAAACAAAACGCCAATTGGTTACTTCTTCAGCCCACCGGTGTGTTTGAAGAGTGAATCCACAACATTTAGAATTTGAGTCCGACGTTTCGCTGGTAATTACATCCAGCATCTTCGGGCGATTTGCCAGAATAGTGAAGCCATCCACCTGCTTCCGGTCGAGATCAGAGGCGGAGGGTGTGGGTATTGCAATTATGTAACAGATCAGTCATCAGCCAGTAAGCGTATTCATATTCTTGTTTTAAAATAGTAAGCGGATTATTAAGTAAGACAAAATACACATTGCAATTCCTTATACAGGAGTCACATGCAAAGTGGCTGATGACTGATCTCTTACATAATTGCAATACCCCCCCTCGTCTCTAATCTCGAAACGTGATGGGGTTCAACAACAATGACGTTGTCCTGCTGCACTATTTAAGACCGTACCCAGGTGGATGTCTTCACTATTCTGGCAAATCGCCCGAAGATGCTGGATGTAATTACCAGCGAAACGTCGGACTCAAATTCTAAATGTTGTGGATTCACTCTTCAAACACACCGGTGGGCTGAATAAGTAACTAATTGGCGTTTTGTTAACGTGACACATTTTTTTACTGATTGGCCGTGTCCGGTGGTGGAGGGTTGTAACACATTTATAATAACGAGATCTAACCCAAAACCCTTTATTGTGAAAAAAACACCACGTGAAAAACCCAACGCAGAAAATCCGTGGGTTTGATATTCCACGAAGCTCATGGTGCCACCCCTAAACCGAATCCAATGCACAAACCATGGCAGTAGAGATTGCGGGATACCTGATGCACAGATTGAAAAAATAAAATTGAAACAGCGTTGCCATCTTCTTAGTCACGTTGAAGGGAAACAATAAAGTAATAAAATATATATAAAACAATAACAATTCTCACGACGTTTCGACCATAACACAAACGGTCGTCATCAGGTGTGTCGGTTTGCATAAATGTATTTATTTTTAAACGGTGTATTTATTTATAAAAACGTCAGCACCACGGGCAGCGATTTGGCAGTTTATTTAGAAGGACGAGTCCATCTATGTTCTGAAAAGAGGAGAGGGGAGACGAAAAATTAATGTATGCTGTCTGAAAGCCACTGTAAGCGTGAACAATCAATTAAGACCTAAAATGGTTTATCAAATCTTTCCAATGATTGCTAAGCCAGAATCCATCTTCTCGGTTGAAATTGTCTCTGTGCTTGTATATGTGGATAGCCTCATGAACGAATCTCTCATGGTAGCCAGATGGCTTACAAAGAACCTCTGTCTTGGAAAAGTCAATGTCATGTGAGCCTACTGAATTATAACAATGGTCTGCCACGGCCGAAGTGTTGGTCCTACCGTGTTTAAGGTCTGCTTTGTGTTCACGAATGCGGTCCGAGACATGGCGTTTGGTTTCTCCAATGTAACTACTACCACAGAGGCAAATTAGTTTGTAGACACCAGGGTACTGTATGTCCGGAATCACATCTTTTACAGACGGAACCAGATCACGGATTTTATGTAATGTGTTGAAACGGACCTGGATCTTGTGTTTATTCAAGATTTTGGAGATCTTTTTTGTGATCCCCGCAATGTATGGTAAAGTGATGGTTTTGAAAGGCTCCTCAAGAGGGTCCTTCTTCATGGTTTGAGTGATAGCTTTGCGGATTGTATAGTCGGAGTAAACATTAGCCTTAAGACCTTGGTGTACGTGCTTGAGTTCACTGCCTATGTGTTCCTGGTCGGATATGCATCATCATTCCCGATCCGCAAATAGGGAGGTGACAATCGCAGCGACGCATCGCTTGCTCCTCCTGGACGCGGTTATCTGGCTCGACCGTGAGAAATTGTAGTCGTGTCAAAGCTCAGCATCTCCATCAGCCCCACGAGAGGAAGAAGATCCCTTACCAACATGCCCGCTCGAAATTTTACACGGCCTCCTCTGGCTCGGATTTAAAACATAAACATTTAGTAGGTTACCCCCCTCTAATGTAATAACCGTGTATTGTCTCGTTCAAAATGGGCCATCCATAAATGACGTCACGCGATTTTGGACGATTTTTTTACCCCCCCCCCCCCCCTCGTCACACGGTGTCACAAAAAGTCAGACCCCCCTCAAATATGACGTCACAAAGCTCTGCCCCCCCCCTCCAACCATATTTCCATTTTGAAAATAAAACATGCTTCAAATCACTTTAAACTATTGTCATTGTAGTGCGTATTTAATGTGGCGCTGCACTCTGATGTTGTAGGAGTGTTGTTATAACAATTAGTGTTTTTATTTAAAGATGCGCATTTTGATGTGACGTCACATTTCTCAACCCCCCTCCCCCTCTCGTCACACATCGTCACAAATGTCTGACCACCCCTAGGTGCGTGACGTCATTTATGGACGGCCCCAAATTCGCGTCGAGTCATTCTCGCGCATTTCGAACCCTCACGAGAGTGTAATTATTACAACGGCGGAGAGTTGCGACAGTGTTTCGACATTTGTGTGTGAGGTTTTTTTTTACTTTAACCCGGTGGTTAAAGTTAATGGATTTAAATATTGCCCCGTTTGGGGAGCAGCAGGAGGAGGAGGGGGGGAGAGAGAGGGGGGGGTACGCGTCATGGGAAATTACGTCGACAAAAACTTTAGATTTAAACACACGATAAGGCTTTCTTTCGCGATCCATATTAGTCATACAATTATCCGTAAAGATACAACGCGTCGTTATTTACGCGATCTAAACCCTCCTCTTATTTTGATTTAAAGCTTTCGTAACTGCAGGGATTCATATTCTTGGTTCTTTCGGTAAAGTCACCGAAAGAACCAAGAATATACCTCCTCTTATTGTGGAAAGAGATTTTTTTTCTTCTTAAAACAACAAGGTCGGTTGCGCAACGCCGTGACGTCACAAGGGTGGGTGTGTGGGGTGGGGGACAACGTGGGACCAGCGCGCGTTCTCCCTCGCTCACGTTCATTCGTGGAACGCCCTCGTGGTTTTTAATGTTAATTTTTATTCATGGGGGGAAAAAAAAACACAACCGGTGTTGCGTTGTGTTGCGTGTGTGTGTGTGCGCGCGGTGACGCCAGTCGCTCACAACAACGAGCGGAGCGCCGGGCGGCTAAACCGCAGCAAGTTGGCACGGCATGGGTCATCTCTGTCGGTAGACTCATGGCACCTGCTGGGTCCTTCACGAGACCTCCCCCCCACCCCCCCGTCAGCAGCAAGCCTTCGACACGTCACTTGGCCTCGAAGTGCACCTAGCCTGGCACGGGCGTCGCCGTAACTTCGTGGCGAATGGCGGGGTTATCGGTTATTGGTGGCGCGTCGGGCAGCAGTCATCTCGGTCGGTCGACCCATGGCGCCTGCTGGGTCTGCCCCGTGACCTCCTGCCAGCGGGCGTTTCGACACTTCGCGTTGGTCTTAACGTGGCGCACCTAGCCTGGCACAGGCGTCGTGGCGACGCCACCGCCACTTAGTGGCGGATGGGCGGTTGTTGGTGGCCCTGTGGCTAGCCGACTGCGATACGAACCCGGCGATCCGAGTTCGATTGTATGCGTGTACAGGATGTTGAACTTCTTTCTCACCGTGCTCATCGGAGGTCGCGGTGGGGTGGGGGGGAGGTCAACAAACTAAACAATAGGTTCGATGACGACTATCTTAACCGGTTACTGGCCCTCCCCTAGATCGACTCGGCCTCAAATGAGTATTTTGTCCTTGGGGTGGCGGTTAAACATTGCCACTGAGGAGACAAAGTCAGTCATTCGTGGCGCTGGTCACCCACCCACCCCTCGTGTGCCGTGCCGGCCTTCATAGTTGATGGCTAACAGCACTTGCACAATATTCTGTTAGGGCTATACGGGGGATCTTTGTCTTCTCCTTACATAAATTTGTTTATTATGCAGTACATCCTTGTTTTGATCATATATCAATACATTTAAGATGTAGCGGATGACAATGGAAAAGCAAGATACACTTTATTTCAATTCCATCCGTGCATAGACCACAGTACCGCACATTCTATGCGAGTGGACTGTGAAACTTTCATCTTGGAAAACAGGATGTTTACACAATTTATTGCCATCCACGATTCGGGGACGATGTTGAGTTTTATTTTTCATGGAAACTCAGGATGGTCACAGAAATCGTGTCACTCCGAGTCCCTGCCTGCCTGCCGTGTGTCGCCTGTGGCCGTGACAGCAAAGTGTACGGACAATATGAAGACGACTGTTATGTTTTTAGTGAATATTTTAGTGAGAAATGTTAAGCCCCTAATGAAATGACATTTGAATCGCGTGGGTGAATATTAGCAATGTAGAAGTAGAATTGTATCCATACTTTTTGGGTCTTTCGGTAAAGTCACGTAGGTAGAAATAAAATAAAACAAATCACGACGTTTCGATCTGCTTCAGCAATTTCTTGCTGTGGTTGTTCCACCTGATGAAGATTGCTTGTGTTGCGATCGAAACGCCGTGATTTGTTTGATTTTATTTCTATCTACGTGACTTTACCGAAAAAACCAAAGAGTATGGATTCCTGCAGTCACGAAAGCTTCAAATCAAGATAGAATTATATCGCTGGAAGATGTTACAAAAATCCGTCAAAATGACAGGTTTTCTGGTATTGGTCGGTCTAATATATAGGGATGAGTTTCTGATTTTAAAATGTCAGGTTTCATATTCTCAAAGAAAAGCCCTTTTATTTGCCAGGCAAAGCCCACTGGATTCCTGAACAAAACTATTATTAATTGTATTCTTATTCTTGGTTCTTTCGTGACTTTACCGAAAGAACCAAGAATATGAATCCCTGCAGTCACGAAAGCTTTAAATCAAACTTTAATTGTATTCTGTTTTCATGATATGTTGAGGGTACCAATCGAACTCTTGAACATGATGTACCTTATTTAAAAATAATTACTGTATATACTTGTACAGACGCTGTTTGTGGCTAGTAAAAACTGGCCAGTGTAGAGGACAAATGTAATTAATTCAAGTCAGGTGCAATGTTGAGCAGTTTTAACTGGTTTTTGCGTGTACATGAAAAGATGGAATTGGATAGCAACACAATACTGGTTTGAAAAAAGTATAATTTGGGGTTGGTCAATTGGCTGGTGCTAAATAATATTATGGAATGCAAATAAGACGTTAAATAGAAAACTGTATCGCATTAATTTGCTGCACAACTACCTTTATCCGTGAAAAAACATTGCAAATAGGATGCTGTTTCGTAAAGCTGAATGGGAAAACCACAAATAATAGGAAGAATAAGGACAATATAAGATTTAACTGACCCTACATCTGTGGATAATTATAATCATGGCTAATAGGGTCCTAGATAAAAATTTGCTTTACTAGATGTCACAAAATGTTAGATACTTTGAGTTTGATAAGTTGTTAAATCTTATATATATAAACATGATTGAACAGTTAAAGATCATTCAGTGGTTATTTTTTATTTTAAAATGCTTTAAGTCAAATTTCCATAAATCCAACTAAGACCATTTGCATGCTTTCCCGCTTCCTTCAGGTTGGACATACCTTACTCATTTTCAGCATTAGCCACATTAAAACATCCTTGTAAGTTCTTTATTAGTTCGAGTAATACAAATTAAACTCATAATAGCAATAAGGCACAATTTTTTTTATTTTATGAATTCGATGTTATCAAGGATAATTTTTGATATTTTAAAAAATTCTGTAGAATTTCAGTTATGTTATGTATTTGTCTCTGCAAACTCAATGCAACGTGGCCGTTTTTGTTAGTAAAAGCTTGCAAGGGTCATCACATTGGTGGCGACACTTCCAGTGTTTGAATCGGTCCAAAACAAACAAAAATCACATTGTCAAAGATTCAGATGAATATGAAAATAAAATGCGGGGTACCCACACAATTGACAAACTACTGTACTTGAACATATGTACTAAAACACAGGTGGATTCTTAAATACATACAGTATTTATGAAACAATGTGCATGTACAGTCCTATGTCAGCCCACTTCTGGATGAGATCCTCCCCACACTGTGGATAGTGGGGATTCTTTGACAATACTTCACTATGCTGGTCAGTGCGAGTTGGCGATGTCAGCGAGCATAGGTGTGTGATCATATAAGCACAGTACAACGATGACATTTGCTGCACTCCCCTTTGTTGCCCACCACACTGCCCCACTGCCGATGAACATCTGTTACACATGGTTGCCCATCCAAGCTGTATGCCATACTTATCTTGGGATCAAACGTCATGGGATCAAGCGACTCCAGAACAATACTGTGATTAATGATATTATGTTTTCATGAAATGCTGATGGTCTCAATCAACTCTTGAAAAAAGTGCAAATTATCTGACCCGCCACTACTGGACATCTGTGAAAAACTGGTTTTTAGCTCATTGGAATCTTCCAATGAGCTGATTCTGAAAATAATGACACACTCGTACAGCCACTATTGTGGCGAGTAAAAACTGGTCAGCGTAGAGGGCAAATCTAATCAGCTCAAGTCAGGTGCAACTTTGAGCAGTATTAACTGGTTTTTGTGTGCACATGAAAAGATGGATTTGGATAGCAACACAGTTGACATCTTCAATAATGGTTTGGAAAAGAGGGTCGTAATTAGGAGTTGGTAAATTGGCTGAAACTAAAGAGTAAAGTCTTAATATTGTAAAATGTAAATAAGACGTAAAATGTATTACATTTATATCATTAATTTGCCGCACGACTACCCTTATCCTTGTAAACTTTGTAAATAGAATGCTGTTCCACAAAGAAGAATGGAAAAACGATAGATAATAGTAAGAATAAGGATGTAATATGAGATTGACCTTATAGCTGTGGATAATTATAATCATGATTAATAGGGTCCTGGATAAAAGGAGCTATATGAGATGTCACAAAAGGTCAGATACTTTGAGTTTAATACCATGCTGTTAAAGCTTAGATATAAACATGATCGGACAGTTTAACATCAATCAGTGGTTATTTTTTTAATAAAAAAAATGCTGTATGTCATATATCCATAAAACCAACCAAGACCATTTGCATTTTTCCCCCTTCCTTCAGGATGAACATACCTTATTCATTTTCATCGTTGACCATATTAAAATATCATTGGAAGTTAATTCGTAGTTATAATGCTAAAATTTATAATAGCAACATGTCACAATGTTTCTACCTTATTTTGTGAATTCAAGGTTTTGTAAAGTTCGACCCATCTTTCTTTAACATTCTACTGAAGTAAAGAATACCACTCATTAGTATTTATCATTAACTATGTCCAACAGTGGACTAGAACAATGCCTTCATAATAAAGATTACAATGCAGTACCACACTGTAATAGTTGTTTATGTGCGAGTGTAAAATTAGTTATACTTTAAATCAGTTTAACCTCTTTGATCAAAATTTAGCTGAGTACGTGGAGCCATATATACTGCATATACGCAGGTATTGGAGATTAAGTAATTTGTGCTATATATACGTATATATTTTTAACGTATATTTCAATACTGTAATAAGTGCATCTTGCGAGTTATTTCAACCATTAAACTCAAATGAGTTACTCTAGCATTCAGATCTAACTACACTCCACAACAGTGGCAAATCTGGAGAGATAAGGCACCATAAATGTCATTAAATGTACAATTCATCCAAACAGTATGACCGATGCACAGTATAGTATTTGATGGGTAATATAATGTTTTAACCAGTTAAAAAGTAATTATGAAGTGGGTCCTCACTTATCACTACTGGCCACACTTAGGGAGGATAAAGTATACATTTGTTTGCAGATTGTGATGCCTTACCTGTTGTCACGGCAAGACAGTACAATAATACACAGCGTGTTGTGTCATAATAGATTCCGTTTTTGCTAACGTGTACAATATTTACACCAGATGTTATGAAATGTATGAAAACCAATTTTTCATTATGAAAATAAATACCTAGTAAAATGACGTGCATGCTGTACCAGTCTGTTCTTATATATATAACAAGCTTTGCTTGGATATGCCAGATAATGCTGCTTAGTTCAGAGATTTAGTGAGATTATCGATTTAACATGATCACTTTCATGCTGTGTTTGGATGATACTTAAAACTATTATAACTACACAATTCCTTGAGCGGACTGAATCTACAGTATTTGTATAGAGCAGCAGGAAAAAAATACTTTAAAAAGGCAATTTGAAATGTCATTAAGACTTGCAAATATGAATACATATAATTTAAAGTTCAAAATTTGTATCCATTTAAAGTACTGTACCGCATTAGAATCAAATTCATATTAAAGTCTTACATTTAATGCCGCATCATTTTTCTGATTCTGAAATATCACATTTTCGGGGAAACCCGACTTCAAATGTTACATGAAAACTGAACCTGTCTTAAAATGTACTGCAAACTCAGATTCTCTTAATCCGAGACCTTTATACGAGAACGATTGTGCAACAATTCCAGTGGCTAGCTTTGCATCCAGTTTAGAGAGACGTGCTTTCCGTCACGTGTGTCATTAGCTCAAACTGCAGTACTCAAGCGTATATTCAAGCTGGACCAAGCTCAAACTCGGCTCACTTGCTTTTACAGAGATCAGTCCTCCGACAGCTCCCAAGATTCCGCGGCCACCTGCTGTCCTGCCATCTCCTCCGCTTCGTGCTCTGCCTCCGTTGTTGAGAAATACTTCTTGGCCTTGCCAATGAGCCGGAATCCGGTTGCCGCCATACACAGAGCCCTGCCTCCATACTGCAGCACTGCCGTGGCTGATGGACTCATGGGGGAAAGCAGGGCTTTGGTCGAACTGCCTCGCACGGGGCTCTGAATGGGGAGAGTTGTGGTGGTGGGTGGGGGGGATGGATCATGAGCAAACCACACGTTAAACTAAAATATGTTTTATTTTACCAGCTAAGGTCCACTGAGCTATTTAGCTGTTTTTCAGAAGCGACCTGGCCACAAATGATGGCCCAATTAAGTGGCTTATCACGTGGACATTTATAGCAGCCAAATACTCTAAAAGGCACGATTCGAAATGTGGAGAGAAAAACCCGGAGGACTTGGGAGAAAAATCCACACGACCACGGGGAGAACATGCCAATTCCAAATATACAGGCGTCAGGGTCGGGATCGAACCCACGACGGATCTCATGCATACAAGGCAATGGAGATAACATCTCGCCACTGTGGCTCGCCACTAATCACAACACATTGCTTGATAATCACAATTTTAAAATGCGTAACAAATAAAAAATCCTGTATTATAGTGACCAATTTGTATGCGCGTTGACTTGATCAATCACTTACTTGTTTTGAGGTTGTTCGTGGATGAGGTTTTTTTCCACTCACAGCTGAATGTTTCCCTGAAACTCCGCTGTTGTTTTTAGATGTCGGGTGAAACGGGGCACTTGGTGCTTGTGGCATTTTCGAATGTGGACATGGTGGCTCTAATCAAACAGATCAAACCCTTATTCACAATGTTTTGTGTATTGTATTGTACTAGATTATATATGCTGTACACAAGTCACTTTAATGGTGAAATCATCTTCTGGGCTCCAAAGAACGCATATGTTATATACATTAAACGATTTAAGGATACACTGCTAAAGGATATACATTGATCTTCTTTGGTTCTTTCGGTAAAGAACCAAAGAAGATGAATCATTGCAGTCACGAAAGCTTTAAATTGAAAGATATACATTGATGTTGTGGAACGAATTGATAGGCACTTGCATTAACACACACACACATTAACACAATTTCCTACCTGTAGGTGGTTGTTGATGCTGAGCATGGAACGCCCAGGCTGCCTGGTCTGGGAAATAGTTTGGCACTTGCGCCATCAGTGGAGCAGATTTTGGCGGAGGATACATCGCAGAGTGTTGAGGGAAAACCTTACCAGTAGGCGGTGGATAAACGTGGCCACATGGTGGAGCTACCATTCCGTCTGGCCCGATGAACCCTAAATGACTAGGACCAGCAGCGAAGCCACTCGCTCCCGGTGAATGGATATATTTTATGGAGGGATCTTCAGCCAAAGCAGTGCCCCCAGAGAGATGATGGCAAGGCTGGCTGGAGCTCGCAGGGTACGCTGTGCCTGTGTACACTGGGCTGTTTGGTGCCACAGAATAATCCGAACGTCTCACTGGGAAGGACATGGCACTTGAGGCTGATTGATAAAATGTGGTTTTGGAAAGGTAGAGCATTTCGGTTCCTGGTAGATAAGGGGCACTTGTCGTGGCAGAAGGCTGACTTTGATTATTAGCATTGCTGGGCATATTTTGGTCAGGATGGTTTGCGGTTGGGTAAACCAGGCTGTACGTTGGAGGCTGGGCCATGTTGCCAGCAAAAGAGGCTCGTGCTTTTAAAAGTGAGTTGGTACAACAGACTTCACTTGCTCCACCTGTTGAAGCTACATTCAAACAAAGGGTTATTGTCTGTGTGTATGGCATATTCTATATATGAATACTGAATATTATAAAGCAAAGCCTCATACAAGAACGTCTGCTGCATTTTCAAACAATGAAAACAGTGAATGTGTATGCATTTACACTTGAAAAGTTTATCTTAAATATCTAAGGGATGTAGGAGAGTAACGATATAGTAACCCGAGGACTGCTTTATGTTACCCAAGTACATTTTAGGCAATAGCAATTAACAATACATTCGCGATCAATTACATTATTAGCTCATGACGTCCACGGTAAAATGTGTATAAAACGGTATGGTGTACATTCATATATATTATTGTAAGTTTTTTTTATCACATTTGGTGTATCATTCCAAGTTCAAATGCTATTCAGTGGGGGTCAGTGACACATGGGTCTTTAGAGATATGGATGTCACAGCACCGCTTTGCATTACATTACCGCATGTACATACTAAACAATACTGTATCACATTTAAAATCACAGATTTGATGCAAATCCGTCAATATGCAGCTGAAATCACATTGTAACAGTAACGAAAGTATTCAATATAAAAAAATGGCAATTTAAAACCTAAAAAAACTACATTATTAACAATATAGTTAAATCAAGTTCATTACTGTAATACCAATTCTTTGAAGTTACCACAATTGTACTTCTTTTCACAAAATAACCTGCGGACATAGAACTAATTGAACATTAAATATCGGATATAAAGTAAACTTTTATTACCCGGATTTTGTCACCAACAACTATACTTACACAAGGGTGTCTGGAGCAAGGCAATTGGAGAGTGACTCTGCTAAGGAACACGCGGCTGATTTCTATAAGAACGCGACTGTTCTCATTTGAGTTTAATGGTTGAAATAACTCAAGCACCGAATCGCGCCGGTGGATTGTGCTGCAGCAAAAGAAAATAATGATAAATGTGCATTTCAAACCACCATCCACTGCACTGTGGATTTACCAGCAGTTTCAAGTGTTATTGTGCCAAACAGAGCATTTGATGACACAGCGTTTGGTGGTAGATTTAGGGACACACAAAACAGATGCACACAGTGCTTTGTGTTTGTTCCAGAACCATTCGTGGAAAGTCAGCTCAATTTTTATTCTACAAATTTTTTTTTACAATTACATGTGCACGTCATGCTTAAACTTAGTCGCAACGAATGTAATTTTGTACAATTACAAAAGGTTTAGGAAAATAAATATATAACAAAGCCAGTAACTGTTTACATTATTTGCATTTCATTTATATAAACATTTAAAGTTTAAGAATATAACGGTATCTTAATAATATGTACAGTACAAAATGAAGCTGAACTTTCTAATTTAACGGACTTGTATTTTATTTTACACATTATAGAAAAGAAAACAAAGTATTCTTGCATTGACTCATGAATTACACGAGACAAAGTGTGTACATCATTTACTTTGAGATTGTAAATATTTAGTTCTGATGCATAAAACTTATTTTATTGGATTTTCCCACTCATGCACTTGGAAAATAGTTACGGCAAAATAACTCAAAATAATTTCTTAAATCTTTCATGGGGTCCCCATGAATCTTGCCTTGCTTTACAAAGTCAGAAAGTTTGTAATCTATATATATAAAAAGGCAAATTTGCGAATGTGTCTGTTCAAAATGTTTAGCATATTTCCCCGACATGCAACAAACTTTAAATTCGGCATGTGGGTACTTTCCAGACGTGCGGCCACTTTGCGAATCCACTGCTGGACTCAGGCCCTCCCCATGCCGTGGAGGTCACCGGGGGTTATTTGAGAACACTTCATTCGCAGTGGTCAATGGTGGTTTGGTGAAGGTGGACAGCATTGACGTGGGAGCTAATATGCTGCAGTGCCCTCTGCTGCCAAATGTTGCCCTACGGCCTATTATGCTTCGTTATCACCTGATCGCTATCAAAGGCTCAACCCCGCTTTTCTTCTAAGATTTGGTGAAAGTGGACACGCACCCCTGGTCATGTGGTCACTGGCAGCTCTGAAACAATTCTTTAAAAAATAATTTACAGTCTCTCACAGGCACTTGCAACACTTACACTTCTGAATTAAAGCTATCAACGGAGTATTGTCATAACATTTTATGAGACATTTTCTGGATGCACAGTCCTGTAATTTTTTTTTATTGCTCGCAATCGGCTGGATTTTCAAGCAGGAACTAATTTAGGACACTGTTCTTATTATGCGCAACCTTATTATCCTATTCCTTTTAAAAGTAAAGTACACCTTTCCAGAGAAGACATACAATATTGGATTTACACACATGTGCAAGGCAGCCATGGGTTTCGACACAGTATAAATCGCGTTTACAATTTCTCTAATGTGGCACTGATGCGGGGAATACGACAGCGTTTCAAGTCGAATGACACGCATGATGTGATGAGGCAGGAAGGAAATGGTGAACATGATGATGGTGGCGGCTATAAGCCTGGCCGATCGACTTCTTGCCGGCTGCATCGTTCCACGGCTGCGCCGGATTGTCCTTACAATGACACACTGGCACAGCACGATGACCGAGTAGGGCATAACGAAGGCAAAGACGATCAGGCACCAGCTGTAACCAAACTCGTTGTTCTCATACAGAGACCTCACCAAATCGTGGCACAGTGTGGTTCCGTTTGAATCCGTGGTCTGCTCTAGGGTCGCCACCTTGAACAATCCCAGGGTCACAGCGAGCCACATGAACACGCAGCTCAAAATGACCACGCGCCTACGAAGTATTTGTCGAGCACGCACCGGCGACACGACCCCGACGCAGCGATACACGCTCATCCACATCAGGATGGTGATGCTCAGGTAGAGGTTTTGGTAGAATGCGAAGGTCGTGAACTTGCAGCGAAAGAGGATTTGAGGCCGGGTCATTGGCGATTGGTCAATGTAGTTGTACATGCAGATGGGCAGGTTGAGCAGGTAGAGGAGGTCCGACAGCGTCAGGTTGAACAGGATGATGGTGTTGCAGGACCAGGGACGGGGCCTGCCTCGGTAAGCCAGGAGGGCAGTGCAATTGAGAGAAATTCCCACCACGAACACAATGCCGTAGAGTGTGGGCAGCACGTACGTTTCCATAACCTTTTTCAAGCTACAACACTCGACCAAAGAATCCTGAAAACGGAAAGGATTCGTTTTGTCCATGGCATTCCCTGTAATGTTTCAACGGCATTCATGCATGCAACGACAGGGTCACAAGTTAACAAACGAGAAAAGGTGAGGATGGAATGGATTCATGTAATCTGATGTGAATTTTCTAATTAAATTAGCTTCAGTGTTCCACATGGGTACTGTATATTGATTTTAAAGCAATTACATTTTTTTAAAATATTCATTTTAAACCAAAAAGTAATATTATTAATTGAATTAAGCTACTGGCATACACATTGGTGGCCCACATTAAATATGCAATGCATTTAAATGCACGACGTTAATAGCCATCGTACGTCTGGATAATTATTATAGATGAACGAAACATCTTTTTATTGAATGAATAACCTCCTACACAGAACGAAAGCACATTTATAAGTAACGAGATTAACTTTTCCTCACCTGAGCTCTTGATTGTGTTACAAAAGTCATGATGCGGCATATCACTCATGGACAGTTAGTCAATTCAAACCGATGTACCACAGATCTCAGTGCTGGAGACTGGATAAATGAGGTTACAAGCTCAAGCTTCACGTCATTATATATTTGTGTGCCTTAAACAAATGTTATATTTGCTTTTGTTTAGTGTCTGCAATATACTGGGATTGCAGCCCATGCGATACTTTTACAGCTGCCGAGAGGGAGAGGTGGGCGTTCGTAATTAAAATATGAGATTAAATTAACATGAATGATTGGAAAACACAACATATCCTCGTAGCTGCCAAAGCCACCCATTGTTAGAAAAAAATACAAAGAAACTCTCCCTCTGTCAGCGTTCATGTGAGAGACACTCTTGGCAGACGCTATTTTTTGGCGTTTGAGAACATTACTGAGGTTTTCCACACAGATAGCCTCTGACAATAGAATAAATGTCACTAGCTCGGGTGATAACCTCTTATCTGCAAAACACATGAATACAATCTTACGAATTTAGCACTTTCACGAGATAATCTCTGGGCGACTTATCTGCGGATAAATGCGAATTACAGGGTGAATTTGCCGCCACTTATGGACGACGCCTTCTGTAGATCGATTGGAGGCGTCTATCCAATAAAGGGGTTTTTCCTCGAGTATTCTTATTATAGACACTATAGACGTATCTGTAATGACAAACAATTGTTCACGTTTTAAATCGCTGCATGACCTACCTAGCCCCCACATTTTATGTCGCATGTTTACAATAATGCACCAGTTTATTAGGCAACTACAACATGGGCAGCACTTTCAAATTTCGATTTAAAGCTTTCGTGACTGCAGGGATTCATGTTCTTGGTTCTTTCGGTAAAGTCACCACGTAGAAGGGAAACAATACAAATAAAACAAAATTATCACGACGTTTCGATTGCAACACAAGCAATCATCATCAGGTGTGAAAACCACAGCAAGAAAAATGTATTGCTATTTTATTTGTATTATTTCCCTTCTACATGACTTTACAGAAAGAACCAAGAATATGGGCAGCACTGTTGAACTATTGTCATCATCTTCACAAGTGGGCGTAGATGTTGAACTTCTTTCTCACCGCACGTAGCCAGCACTGATAATCGGAGGTGTGGGGGAAGGACAACAGACTAAACGCAAAAAGTAGTTCTAAAGAAATGCGATGACCATGACAACGGCTTTCCACCTTTTTGCGATTATCAGTGCTTCTCATCAAGATTCCCATTAAAGTTCACACATGTCCCAAGAAAGTGTCTTCTTCATCCCTCGTCCCTTTTACTTTTCCGTTTTCCCATACAGGGTTATCTTTGTAATTTCTCCAGTTGACTAACTAATACATTTATACGAACGAATAAATGTAATTATCTATGCATGTATTCACGTAATTAATTGTGCAAATCTTTCAGACAAGAGGACTTGTATGAAGGAAAAAGCAAGCAAGATTTTTCGTAATTTAATCAAACTGTTGGAAAACACATTGTTAGCTCACATTAAAGATGAAATGCAATTAAAAACAACACTAATTATAATTACACAGCGGTGTTTGACGTGGCAAATTATTGTGTATAACAACCGTATAATACCTTACCACAAATATATTGGTAGAAATGTAGGTTTTAAGTGTTTGTTTGTGTGTTAAGCACAGTATTGTGACATGCTCCCACATTGCAAACCGTTTAATTTCTAGCAAATAACAGCTCACATTATTTTCACTTAGTACTGCACACATAATTTTAGGTAAATCCCCCCCCCTCCATCTCCAGACATGATGTAGTATTTGCTCTGTAATGACAAAAAAAATAAACATTGACATACGTTTTCTTGGCGTTATGAAACATGTTTTCAAACCAATTGCTGCATCGTCTCATTTTAGATAATTTAATATCCGGAATTGCCTTTGCAGAGTAAAGAGAAAATTATCTTTACATAACCTGCACAGAATAAACAGCATGTCCCACGAGAAAAAGGTTAATTTTTTTCATTTCTGTGGTTTTTGGTTTATGTGGCTTTAATGACAGCGTGAAATAACTAAAGGAAATATCCACGGAGGGGAATAACATCTTGCAATTATACCAAACCAAGTAAACATAGATATATTTTACATTTATTACAAAAAAATCAAACACAGACACAGAGTAGTTCAATTATAGCCTGCACTGTTAACTGGAGTATGCAATTTGCATTACATACACATCTCACCATCCACCACTAAATGAGTTAGCCCTGATCTCCCGAAAATCCTACGGGGAGGCACCAAGTCAATCCACCACAGGTTAACCAAAGCAATTTTTCTCGACGTAGAATTTTAAAGTTGCTATTCATCCAGCCACACACAAAAGGGAATGGCCAATGTTGTAAAAAGAATATGGCACGGTTCTTGGCAGTGCCATTGGTAAGCTGCGTGGCAAGTGTTGTGTGAGCGACTGGTGCTGGAGTTTTTTTTATGAACGTGAAAATGATGGATGTCTCATGTAAAATGTTACATTAAGTAGCAAAACAAGCTCACTTGAAGGCATTGACCCGATGCAATACTTACACCATTAAAATACATGAATAGACCAATGTAAAACACACTACCATGAAGTAATATGAACTCAACAGCAAACATAACGTTTATAAAGTGTACTTTATTATACTCATAACATCAATACATGATAGCTTCCATCAGATATTAAAAATATAGGACTTCATAAGGCACATCAAATTCTATCTTTTACACTTTCCGATGTTCAAGCGGATTTTTATTTCCTATTTTACTCACCCCTGTCACTGCAGGATGGATCCATTTAACATTTCCACTAATTATCACCATCCCAGTAGTGTCAGTGTCAAATGAAAGTATGATCTAACTCGAGTCGAAACTATAAAATGTTGTGGTTATGTTTGCGCCTTCTCGTATTTGTGGAGGTGGGGAATTTTAGAATTGCAGCTCTAGAGAGCCCCTCTTAGAGGGTAATTGGTCTAACTCTTCCAAGTTGGCCATACGACTAGGAAGAGGTGAGAGTACCCACACTTTACCCCACCACACGCAACCTACCGGTCAACCAACTGTCCTGTACCCATTCACACAGTTGCGAAACTTGCACCATTATATCAACTGCTGCGCCACGATATCTAATCAAACGGACGACCTTTGGATTACAAGTCCAGTGTGCAGGTCGTTTCCAGCAGCAGCAGCAGCACCATAATTGTAGTCGTAGGAAAGACTGTTTATGTTAGTAATTACAATGCATTTATGAATCAATAAAACACTGTTTAATAATTGCTCAATTTGCCTGCATTAATATACAATCATAAGACGTGAAACGTTCTTCAATGGTACTGTAGTTCATTTACTTATGTTATGTGCATGTGTTTTGATAACATACCCCAAAACAATATGTAAAGCTATATGTAACGTGTATGCAAATTCTTGATGTTAAATAAGTAATTAATGAAGTTGAATACAATCTAACATTCAGTGATATAAGCTAAATGGATAGTTAGGAGTAAGAAATTGGCTTTAGCTTACGACAATACGTCTTTGGCAAATACATGCATTTCAAATGCTAACTGAAAATCGGATAATGTTTATAATAAAATTTTCAAACAGAATTAACTATAAATATTGTGCCGTCGTATTTTAGCAAATCCAAGGTGTAAAGTAGCAATTGAAAGTTAAACATCGAGATCAAACGTAAAGTTGATCAACATTAAACATTGAGTTTCGTATGTAAAATAAATGTATGCCGCTGACATTTGCAATAACATTCGTACATATGTTGTTATTGGGCACAAGTTGCACGTAAAAATATTTTGCAATGCATAGTTGTTTGTGAGTGTAACTCGACATAAAAAAATAGTATTGTCACATGTACAATAAACGTGCATCGAGAAAAGAAATAAACAAACCACGTCGTTTTTCAACAGAGAAGTACTGTCAAACACCAAATTAAACATTTTATTTCACAACTTTTTGTAAATCCACATATATATTTATGAAATTAAGCATTCTGTGCCTTTCTCACACGGGCAAAAGTACTGTATTGTGTGCTTCTTATTTAATTGTCTCAACTAGTCCACAAATAAACTCATTAGAAGACTACAGGAAAAGGATTGCCGTCTAAGAATCTCAGCTTCCATTCTGCGTGGTATAAATAACTCGGGCATTGGAGTTAAGCTACTTAATCCGAGCCCCCAAGTCAAAGAATCAAGCTGGAAGTCTTATAAACAGTGGATGAATTAACAATATACATTTTACATTAACCTTTTTAAAATATGAAAATCGCCCCACTTGTAGTTCATGCCATGGCTATAATTTTCAAGACAGTGTTCGTGTTTTATTCCATCATTTAAAAAATAAACTTTTCAGCTTCAATTCAACATTTTTCTTTTTTGAAACGTCACTCACTAAGTGTGTGGACACTCCACAAGAGCATACCATAATATCCCTAACCAAATATACCTGGGGTGTCTCTCCCGTGTAATTGCAGCAACTGCTAGAACATCTCCTCCTCCGAGCTCGCCGCTTACTTGGGGGACACCGCTTTCAGCTCGTAGCCGGCTGGCGGTTGCAGGCGCACCTTGGCGTGAGCGTCGCAGTAGATCTGCCCATCCACAAAGTAGAAGCCCTTCTGCTTGAGGTTCATTCCACAGTCACCGCACGTGAAGCACTCGGGGTGGTGGGGTTTATCCCGGGCTCTCACCACGGGGCCTCTGTGCACGTCACACAAGCACAAACAAACAATACAGGTTACCGAGATCACTTTTTGCTCCAGGCCAATGAATATAATGAGATTTTAATTAGGATCATAGCCGAGCGGTTAAGCATTCGCTGCTTTTTGCGCCGACCGCTGCACAGTGGGTGACCAGGATCCTGTGATCCTTATTTGAAAGAGAGAGTAGGCATCATAAATGCCGGCATTATAGAATCCAATTTACTAAAATGTGGAAAAATATCCAGAAGTTACCTAATAAAAAAAACACGGGAACATTATCCCCTACTGGAAAACTTTGACCATCTGCCAAACAGTGCGGCCATTATAACTTTGTAGTGGAAGTATGGGACAAATACCAAATGTACTCCAGTAATTCTAATTGTTCCATCAATAGTCCGAGTTAAATCAAGTATGGACGTTTCATGGCGTAATTCATAGAAAGTCCAGTATATGATTGCAGAAGCACCAATAAGACCATCAACTACACAGGAACGAACTGCTGTGAACTCTGAAAATTGAATGGAGGCCTTGGAGCAATCGACCATGATCTGGCTAACTAATACTCGTCGTATACGTTGCTGTGTTTACATTATTCATTATTATATTATTTACATTTTAAAATGATTACCAGTTCACTTAATATAAATGAAAGAGTGCATATGTTTATCTTTTTGTTGATGTTTTGAATAATCCAAAGATAAATGGCACAACATTTTACATAATGTGAACTCTACAAAAGTTTTAAAATAATTGCAACCATTTGGTGGCTGTGGTTCCTTCTGTTAAGGGAATTTGTATAAAACACAGCTGGAATTAATGCATATTTGTACCATGGTAACTTCCCCACGTGGAGTTGTATTCTGGAAAAAATCTAACCATTTACAAGATGCATTCCCATAATGTGCTTTAAATTACGAACGTAATTTATAAAAACAAAAAAACAAAGGTGTATAAATGATTACAACATATTCTATCTTAAATACAGCTGCTAGTGAATTATAAGGCAGGATATGCAGACCGATGCAATGCCACTTGGTAGTGGTCACTTACACAATTCCATTGCCACACTTGGAACAAATCGGCAGCTTCTGCACTCCACCCACATCTGCTCCCACTTTCGTAACAGGTGCCTTCACACTCCGTATGCCCACAGTGCGTTCAGAGCCTGTGAACATTCAGCGACACACTCGCAACGTAAAAAAAAAACATGCACACCCCCCCCCCTTAAAAATGATATATTGAACGAAAGCCTATTGCACAAAGTACGAGCGATAGGAGAAAGGGGTACAGATATTCCACGGATGACAAGCCCGAGGCAAGGTGCCCACGAGGTAAGGGGAGAGAAGGGCGATTGTGCTCAATGCCCCCCGACTCACGTGGGGGTAACGATTGGGAACGTGGTATTTTTAGGGGAGGGGAAAGAGAGAGAACGTGGTGGTGGTGGGGGGGGAATATACTCAAACAGAACCCGCAAAAAATAACACGCATGCGCCAAGTTAACTTGTCAAGAACATGCACCTCAAATCCCTCGGTAAAATGCTCAGATGCAGATAGTGGAGCCATAACTGTCATCGACGTGACATTCGATGTGGCAGAGTTGACATGTCTATGCCAAATACTCTTTTTTTTGGCCGAGACACCTTAAAAGGAGAACCACAAAAAAAAACACAATTTCTACCGCTGTCCATGGCCTGGAATTACTTTCACTTAGTGGTGCTATAATGCACTGCATTAGAATACCAGCAGTTACACTGCCACACAGTCGTATATTGATGGCACTTTTGTCAACCCACTCTTGGGGAAGGGCCTCTCCCCAAGCCGTGCAGGGGTTATTTCAAAACACGTCACCAGGCTCGTCATTGCAATTTGGTGGAGGTGGGGAGCATCGATTTCTAAACAATAGTGCAAGAATGGATGTTCCTGCACCACCATCTGCTGTCACAGCGTGGCCTATAACACCCGTTTTTTAGGCAATGTGATCTCCCATTCAAGCATTACCCACCACCCTCAACCCTGTTTGGCCTTTCGAGATCTGATGAGGCAGAGCGCATTCTGTGTGAATTGCTCATCGCCACATAGTTTCACGTAAACAGATTGCGCAGTGAGAACAGGGATTAAATTGGCTTAAGGCTTTCAATACGCTCTTAAGCCTTGCCGGCACTACGAGTAATGCAACTGTGGACATGAGCAATTACACCCCATGCAGCTACACTACTGAAAAACTTTTTTTTTTCACGGGATTTGGCCACCTAAGCAGATGCGCGATCCCCCCACCCCGCATTGTCATATGATTGCGGTCTTCCGAGTGTGTGCGCGTGTATGTGTGCAGGTCTCCCACCACCTGGGGCTTCCTCCAGCATCTCCTGCAGCCTCTGGAAGGAGCCCGACTGTTTCGGCCCGTAGCCGCCCTCTTGGTTCTCTTGCCTCAGCTTGTACACCTCCGAGTCGGCGAGGAGTCCACCCTTGACGGCTGGGATGTGTGGCTCGCTGGAACACGCGTCGAGAGATGTGTTGCAGACGTGGAAAGTTATAAGCGTGACCACAGTGTTTCGCTTCACTTGCCCAAGCCTTGTGTCATTTCTGGAGAGTGCAGGAGGGCTACCTAATTGATCCTGCCGTTATTGTGGAATATATTAATGTTGACAAAAACATTTTTTGCCCACTGACGAACACTCTGATTAAAGGAATAAACGAATAGCGTACTCAATATTTGGACTACTTTAGTCGATGAGACTAAGACAACAAGCCAGTGAAATCCACGGACTAAGACTCGACAAAAATATTCCACACATTTTTGGAAAACGGCGATTTGCCCATGGAAGCAAACGAGATAGAAAAGAAAGCCTATGGGTTCGTATCATAAGTCTCTTATAATATTTAATAATAATATACATTCAAAAATTCTGATATCAAGAGGTAGCTGGGCAATTTAGGGGACTGAGCACCGAGTCAGCACTGCTGAGAACCCGAGTTCAACTGCGGAAAGCTACGTGCAACAAAAGGTTACTTGAGATTTTCTAAGGAGCTGTGGGAAAATATGCTTGTGCGGGCTTGTATCTCTAACAAACAAGGTTGCACTTCTCTAAAAGACTGTCAAATGTATAAGGCATATTGATGTGACACTGGTAGCACACCCCCCCCCTCCGCCAAGACACATCACAGCACGCCATACCTCTCACTCACTGAGCACGATCGACATTTGCGAATCCTGGCTTGTTGTGTGACGTACCTCTGTTGACTGTCGCATGCTAAGGCCGAAGAGACCTGACCCTGCAAGCTGTCCATGATGTTATCTTGAGAGTAAAGCTGCATTGGCGAGTTAAACTGTGCGTGGAAGACCTTCATGCCAGGCACCTCCACCTCAATGGGTTTGTTTGGTGCGGCCCTAGCCATGTCCTTCAGATCTTGAGGATTCACGCTAAGCAGGCTGGTCACGGACGGGGTGTTGCGACCACTGGATACAGAGGGCACGGCGTGGCTAACGTAGGGCTGGATAAACTCGACCGGGGGGAGCGAAGGGGTGCTACGTTCACTTGAGGGCACCGGCGTGACGTGCCCGCTGTCTACGGAGGGCGGAGGGGTAACAGTTCTGCCGCTGCTTTGCGAAAATGGATTTGTGACGCGTGTGGGGGACACCGAAGAGAAAGGCGTCGTGGAACGAGATCACAAAAGCAAAAAAGTTAAGAAAAGTTGAAAATAAATAAAGGAGAGGATAAAACAGGGGAAAAGGGACAGAAAACAGAAAGGACAGAGAAATTAGATTTCATCAAGTTCATTTGGAAAAAATATTGAAAGTACATAAGTTGAAAATGCAACCGTTAAACGTTTATCTAATCATTACATACATCTACACGTTGAACTGGGCATTAATGTAAAGACGACTTTAAGACGACATTTAAAAGTTTACATTGTGGTATAGGATTACATTGAACTTATTTAAATTAGCACTATAGTTGGCATGTGTCAAGTAGCCAAACAACTAATTATACAAATCAACATGTGAACCATATAACTATATTGTTTCTAAGCTATGTCATACTCCTGATACATCTGCATTGAAACATATCCTATAAGACAAATATTTTCACCAAACAATCAATTTTGCCAATCATCTGCAACCACTGCAGGAAGCTACAGACATCAATTCGAAGGAACGTTTGACATAGCGCTCGGCTAGGAGACAAAACGACCCAGGCAAAACAACTTCTTATAGTATTGATTGCAAGCATTCTGGATGATTTTGTTTGGTGGATTTTCTTAAGTGCCCTCCCCCACCTCTTTTCCCGTTTCTTGTGTTCCTCTTCCTTTGCCCTTTCTTTCCCATGCAATAACCTATGCTCCCGCTCGCAGTCAGCAGTGGGGCAGAGAGTCCCCTCCCCCCCTGTTACATGCTGTGCCTTGTATCGGGCTCTTGTTAAAGTATATATATAAAGATTGGTTGCAAGCAGATTCACATGCACACAACGTAAGGAAGCAGTCGAGCGAGACCTGGGAGGAACGTAGGGCTTGGGCCTGGCATTGAATTTGTGCTCAAAGTAGTCTTCATCCTGGCGAGAGAGAGAGATACGACTAGGAGAAACAGAGCAACAGAACAAGGTGAAGGAACGTGAACATCTTTGAGAACCAAAGCAAGGATAGATTAAGGAGATGAAGAGGAAAGACGTTAGCCATAGTGGAAAGCCGCAGATGACGCAGGGTAAAGGTTGCAAAAGAGTATCTGCACACGAAAAAGTAGAGGTTGGGGTAAGAAATGAGAAGGAATATGGCAAAAAGCAGAGCATGGGAAAATAAATATAGAAATTGGCTTTCAGGAATCACTTGATGACTCGGGCTGAATGTTGCCATCAGCAATCAATCGAGAAGAGGATCTCGATTTAATATGTTTTTAATATTAGTTTCAGTGCCCTCATGTAATGTTTACTTTGAGGCACTGCCATCTTTGTTGTAGAATATTCTCATTTCATTCATGTCAGCAGCCCTTCTATTGAAACTTTAAATCAGTAGGTGCCGTCTGATTACTTTTTATCTCATTCTATAAACGTGTCCACACCTACCGTATGCATGTACACGTGACGACACACTTGCTGCAACTTGATTAGTATGCAGAGAACCGATAGCACGCACAGTTCCGTCCATGTGTGCGTGCCAATAATAATAATACCACGAATGCACGTGTTTAACCTTCTTACATACGAGTGCTAGATCTCGATGTTCTAGCTGGTCAGATTCTAAGACGTCCAAAAGTGTTTAAGTTTTGAATCAAGTTTGTAAAAAAATATATTGCTGTAGTATTATCTTACCAACATGCATTTTACCGTGAGATATCCGGTATAAAAGATCATACAATATCCATTACCACACAGTAACAATGTATAGCCATGACGGACACATTTATAGACTCTTAAATCACTGCCAACACAAAAATGTTAACATGAAACACGTGTAGAAAATACTTTAGTCAAAACACACTGTGGGTAAGTTCAGACAGGGTTAGTTATACTTAGGTCAGGGGTCACAAAACAAGGTATATGTAACTATAATCTTTAATTCCTTACCATATTTTAGTAGTGGCATTTTGGTTCTTTTAACATACTTTAATATATATTTACAATGGATGTTACCGAACAAATCCTGTAGTGTATTCTTTGAAATGTAAACATTGTGGTGTCTAGGCAGCTCAGAGGCCAGAGTGCTGAATAAGCACGACAAAAAAAATCTGGGTTCGAATCCAGGCAGCCACTCATGATTAAAGCATGTTCTCAAATCTAGCGAGTTGGTCTCTTGAGGACATGAAGATAACAAATATCTTGTTATTTGTTTTACCTTATTGGGCTAAAATCAGTTCAACTGGCACATACTGAACATTTCTCTGTACCAGGATATTTGGGAAAGTTTGACTTCCCTAGCGTGCAAATAAAAAAGTGTGATTAGAAGGGATCTTAGAAGAAGTTGTGATATTTCCTTTTGTGGGCCAACCTCCCACACGGAGTTATGCACTGCTGTCAGAGTTCTGAATGGACACTTCTTTTCACAATTTAATTGATATTAATTGATATTAAATTGTGAAAAAGACATACACATAAAACCACATAATTTGCTCGTCTGAAAAACGTTTTTTTTTTTAAACCTGTAACACATTCAACACAAGACTTTTCAAGGACAAATTATTTTTTACACAAACCACCCGTTTGGATAAACATTTGTCGTGAGGTGGTAGCTGGCATTTGTTCCATTTGCTTCGGAGAGAGACAGAGAGGGAAAACAATACGGACGAAACCCAAAGCAACTTTATAGAAGGACACATACGGGGATCTGCTGGCCGGTGGTGCGACGGCACACTGCGTCTGCAGAGCGTGGTGCAGGTTATCGGACGAGTAGAGCCCCGCTGGGTTGTTGTATTGGGGCCCAATCACCTTTGGGGCACTGCCCGCGGGGGCAAAGGGTGCCGGCTTGCGGTTGTGGCCGACGCCAATTGGCTTGACTTCCTGCGGATTTGCGCGAACCAACATGCACGGGGCAAGGCTCACATGCCAGTGGCAAGCACGTGCGCGCGCACACACACACACACACGCACCCACAGGCATGCAAACAGACCTGCCAACCGACTGTCTCATGTCGGAGAGTACGCCAAGCGGCCGCGCTTGCCTTGTGCTGTCGTGGCTATGGTTTTCACTGCACTGAGGCACAAATTAGTGGCAGAGTTTAGCTTTAGATGTGTGGACGATGGTGCTCTGTCTGCAGTCAACATTGTCCACTTCGCAATCAATCACCGCCAATCCATCTCCAGTATCTATGAGCGTAACTTTGTTAAGAGTCTTATACGTGATTGGAAGGATCATGAGGTATTAAAGATGCCAAAGCGATTATATTTGTATTATACTTATAGGTTGTTCACTAATTAAAATTATATTACCAATTTAGCCATCATGAACCTTATACTATTTGTTTAGATATGCATTTCCACAATTAATAAATTATAACTGTAAAAAGCTTTTTTTACAAACCACAGACGCCTAAGCTTAGCTTTACAGCAAAATAGTTTTCCGATTGAAAGGGACGTCTCATTATCCAACATTAAAACTAATTATATTGGTCACGTATAAAATGCAAATAATATTTTTTTCACAAGAGTGAATGCATTGGCTTTTGGTCTTTCCGTTTACTGCTAAAATACACGCGAGGTTTTCATTCACAACCTGCCACTTCGTCCAATTTGCTTTGACATCTGCCTTGAATGAGGCCAGAATGATAGCATAAGTCTGCAGGTAGTATAACGCCATGGCTGCACTGTTTGGACATGTTATAATTGGCCTAAATACGGTTTGCACCTGTGTTGGTATTTTGTGTTAAAAAAACAACTTGTACAGACCCAAGTACCACAACCAATGCCTCCCACAACCACAATATCATTATGATGGCCATCGCAAATTAAAAATCTCCATAGAAACAGCCTTTGAAGTGTTTATTAATAATCTATGGAATAGTATTGGGTCCAATATGAATCCTTATTTTAGTTTCATATACAGTGCCGTAATTTATCCTGTACTCATTAAATCAGAATATTTTGCAAATTGGCAAGTCTGTATGAACCTATGCAGTTATACACCATTCTTTACACAAAGCAATGCATTACACTTTAGAGCATTCCCTGAATCTGCAGCAGAAATAGTTAACAAGTAATGTATGGGTTATTAAAACATGTACACACCACTCATGAGTCTTACATTCTTACCACACATCTACAGTCAATGTTACAGCCATGCAGTGTTGTTTTGGATCTGCACTATTGTGTAAAATAAAAAAAACAGCCTAAATGATGTTTTATTGTTACTACTGAACTATATTAATAAATGTTGTAGTTATCCATTTAACAAACTGGGAAGGATTTTAGAAATATTTTATGAATTCATTAGCTAAATACTTAAGTTGAGTTGTTTATACAATCACTAGTATCAAGACACAGCAATGATGAAACACAACCAGAATTGTAAAAGCTAAACAAAATCATTTATTTCATCTGCAGCATTTGGTAAATGCTTACACTATAAGTAAAACTATTTTATCTCCTCATATAAAGCCATATTTTGTGTTGTCCATGGTAATCAAGTTGGTTTAAAGTGCATTTTTGTGAATTGGCATAACTTAAAAGCACAGGGGATGACCAGGGGAACAAAGGCTTGTAGAATTATTATTTAAAGCTGAGCAAAATTTTACACAAAGACCACTGATCCAAGGAAGACAAAAAAAGATACCTGGATAGATGCAACTACAGTAACGGATGATTGAAAGCACAGTTTTTAAACTACAACCAATAAATTGTTTATATATTCGAGAACCGTTTCTGAACATCAGGAACCCATAATTGTTCACAGTTTCATTTTCCATAACGAATGCACCGTTTGGCGCGCACGAACGAACAAACGGACATGTCGGCCTTTACACTTTCTTCTGGCTTGTGCTAATATTCTCAAGTAGTGGCCCGCCACATCTTTCTGGCACCAATCTCTTCTTATTATTATTGTTGTTATGTCGTCAAGCCATTCTCCGTTAGGTCCTTCTCTCTTTCCGGTTCCTTCCATTTTTTTCCGAACGCACTTTTTATTTTCCTGTTGCTGCCCATTCTACACGTGTCCAAATAGTGCCCGTTTCCTTCTCGGCACTCACTGCATCAGATCTCTTTCTCGCTTCTCACTTAAAAGATAACAGTGCGGGGCCTTGAAACTGCTGGCTTGCTTGCATGCTCATTCGCCACTGCGGGTGGGTGGGCCTCCACTCGAGCTTCAGAGCAGATTTGGTCAACTCTTCTACGTCGATCGGATATCCTGGAAGAGGTGGATGTCTAAGCCCCACTTTATCCCACCACATACCAGCTGCCAAGAGACTGTTGCTTACACATTTAGACTGCTAAGAGGACAGAGGTGGGGGGGGGATTTAAGAAATGTGTGCCATATCACTGTGGGAACTCCCCATCTTCGTTTCTCAGTTGGAAAGATAGATCATGATTAGGTGCTTTCGTGACTGCAGGAATTACTCTTTGTTTTTTTTCGTAAAGTCACGTAGAAATAATAAACAAAAACGTCGTATGCTATTATATCATTTATTTATACGTGACTTTACCGAAAAAAAACAAAGCGTAAGATAGATCATGTTACTGCTTAAGACGTACTGTATCTATGTACGGAAATAAAACATTAGCCTATAGCGCCCTCTGTTGAGAACACAAGCCCTACATTGCATGCTTTTACATTCAGAAGCATTTTCCAACACATTAAGATTAGAAAGAAAAAACCAAGCCACACGAAGCATACACGTTAAGATGTTAAAGAATGTAATACGCTGAATTTTAACACCGGACCTTACCTGTGGATTGAATAACGGGTCGATGCAGTTTTCAAGATCCAGTGCTTACCTTTGGCACTACAGTAAACGTACTTTTCAAATAGTTAAAAGGAAACCTCCCCAGATGGCTTACCTGTGGTTCGGAAGCCAAATTAACCTTGTAGGGGTGTACCTTGCCTTCCTCCAGCACATTCGGCCTCCACAAAGTTGTTTGAGGTCTACACAAGGAATGTAAGCACTTGATTTAGCCTACATCCTGAAAGAGATGAATAATAAACACGGTATGTTTGTTGAACTTCTTTCGCACCGTACGTAGCCAACCGTGTTCATCGGGAGGTGCGGGGGAATGACAACAAACTAAACACAAAAAGCAGTTCTAAAGAAATTAGCTTTCAATCTAGATTTAAAAGTGCATAGCTCCAATGGCTTCCTTATATCGGAAGGAAGAGTGTTCCAGACCGCCGCAAAAGCGCATCTGAAAGTGCAATAACATTAAAAATAATGGCAAATGTTTATCCAGGAAAGACTCGCCGAGTCCTAAGACACATTTTCAAGGTCCTGTGTTTAACATTATACAAATTAAGGTAACATCTGACATTGTTATATTGTATCATTCCACATTTAATACAAATGCGTAATGAAAATCCACACATAGAAATCCCAACAGGAGTATAACTTTGGTAATGGCTGGATGAACTTGTAAATGATGTGATGAAAAAAGGCAACACAGCCAATCCACTGCTGAATGAAGGACCTCCCCAGGCAGTGTTTGTCATGACGGTTGTTCGATCATCCAATACCAGTGGTTTGTGAAAGGAGGGCAACTCCCCCAGGACTGGTTCAGATATCGATAGCCACTAATGATACCTGTGGCCGGGAACAAGACTATAGTGCAGTGCTGGGTTCAAGGCGCATAACAACTGCATCACTGATCAACCAACCCCAGCCGTATATATGCATAAAACTGCACAGAGAGGCACACACCACAAGGAATACAGAGTTCTTGAAACACTTTCGCAGGTCACCATGTATTACGCTATTAATAAACAAATGAGCAACCCACCGCCAGCTTCAGCCAATCCACTGCTGAATGAAGGACCTCCCCAGGCAGTGTTTGTCATGAGGGTTGTTCGATCATCCATTACCAGTGGTTTGTGAAAGGAGGGCACCTCCCCCAGGACTGGTTCAGATATCGATAGCCACTAATGATAGCTGTGGCCGGGAACAAGACTATAGTGCAGTGCTGGGTTCAAGGCGCATAACAACTGCATCACTGCTCAACTAACCCCAACCGTAAATATGCATAAAACTGCACAGAGAGGCACACACCACAAGGAATACAGAGCTCTTGAAACACTTTAGCAGGTCACCATGTATTGCGCTATTAATAAACAAATGAGCAACCCACCGCCAGCTTTAATCTCTGTAATGAGGGACTTTATTATCCAGTCAAGGTCAAATGTGTTTAGATGTATTTTCAATGTATAATGCTACCACTACCAAGGTCATTCATAATTGTTTACAAAGTTTTCATTTTGATTTGTTTGGATAAAATTATGCTAATCCAGATCTCACATGATCTGCTGAAAATGGCTATACATTGTCAAAAGCTTAAATAGAAATCATTCTAGGCAGAAATAGAAAAAAAGATCAAGTAGGCTACCCCCTTGATTAATTTTGTAAAAAAAAAATGTTTTACCTTGTTGCAACACAACCTTCTACTAAAAAAATTTTCAATCTGAATAATATTTACAATGGTCATGGTGCCCCCAGAATGATTGAAGCTAATGCATAACCGCTTTAAACCTTGGTGAGAAAGCACAGAAATTAAAACAGTTGTTTTTAATTTGTACCGAGGTTTGACAAATGAAAACAGTCTCAGACTGAAAAGAAACAGACGTAGGGGTTTGGTTGCTGGAAGGTTGGGAAGTTTGCGAGATTCGATTATTATGACAATGACATTCGGAGGGAAGACAAGTGGAGAACGACAATCTAACAGCGCAATGATACGAGACCGAGGCCAGGCGAGGCCAGGGGAAGTACTGTATTATTTCCCAACTGTGAAATGTCACGATGTTCATACTGTAATCAACATTATGTGCAAGCTGCAGACGACATTTGCCTCGGAGACGCTGGTCGGCTGTGATGGGGAGACTCTGGAATTGCGTGCCAAGCATGAGGTCATGCTTTGAGGATTTGGCAAACAACCCAGGGGCTTGATTAGTTGCAGGTGGCAAGAGCCAACGGTGGTTAGGGCTGTGATGTGTGCAATGTTGAGAGCATTCAGGTTGAGATGTTCCCCGATTATATATCAGGAACATAATCCTTGCTTGGAACCTAGACAAGCATGCGCACGATAAAATGCTGAACTCTTTGAAATGGAGCTTACAAACGCGTGCAGTTTCCAAAAATGAACTGGATCAATTTGTGTTTGTATGTCTTAATATATCAATTACATGAAATCAGTGATAAGATGTATTCGAAAAAAATGTGTCCGAGGTAAATCCTTTCATAATGACGTGGATAATGTGCGTGATTGTATTTGCAATCTACGGTAAACATTGCCATATTTGTAGAGGGCAAAAAGCCTTTCTGAACTGGTAACCATAAACTAGCTTCTAAATAAGAGCACGCTGAAAAGTTATCGTTACTTACAAATATTCGCCACTGTTCTACCTCAGCCATATACCGTGTCACTCCACTGCTGGACGAGGGTCTGCCCAAATCACGCAGATTATGTAGGGTAGTTGACGCATAACTTCACCATGTTGGTTATTGCGGGTTGTAAGGGCGCATGGAAGAGATGTGGGAGCACAGAAGCACAGTGCAACGACGTATTTTGCCACACTGCCCTCTGTTTTCTACCAAACATCCTCCTTAGCTTTTGATTTAAAGCTTTCGTGACTGCAGGGATTCATTTTCTTGGTTCTTTCGGTAAAGTCACGTAGAAGGGAAACAATACAATAATAAAAATATAAAACAATAAAATTCTCACGACGTTTCGACTGCAACACAAGCAATCATCATCATCATGTGGTTTCACACCTGATGATGATTGCTTGTGTTGCAGTCGAAACGTCGTGATAATTTTATTGTTCTATATTTTTATTATTTTATTGTTTCCCTTCTACGTCTCTTTACCGAAAGAACCAAGAATATATATCCTCCTTAGCCTTCAGCCAATCACGGTCTTAAATTCATGGTGATCGCCCATCTAAGCACTATCTCGGTTAAACAATGCTCACCTCCCAATGGCCATATACCGCATATAAGTGATTTCTAAATATAGATCAAAATGCAACAAATCAGGGTAAATTAATACACACTACCTATCAAGTATCACAGAGCTTAAGCGCCAGGATTGATGGCAGCTTTACTTGGGCGAAAGAAGAGTTTCAGCATGCCCTTAAAAAAAGACAACTTGACAAATTGCTTGACATCCTCAACTCCGTGGCATGCTGTGGTTCCCTGTGCTGGGTTTCAAAGCAGAGTCCGCGTAAAATCAGGGCTTGCCAAGACGTTGCTCGGTTTTAAAATACAAATTTTTCAATTGAGTACGCAAAGTATTATCCATAAATCTAGCGCGCCATCCAAACCCACGGTAACATGTGAGGTCTTGATTTAAAGCTTTCGTGACTGCAGTAATTCATATTCTTAGCTCTTTCGGTAAAGTCACGTTGAAGGGAAACAATAAAATAATAAAATATATATAAAACAATATTGTTGTGTATATTTTATTATTTTATTGTTTCCCTTCAACGTGACTTTACCGAAAGAGCTAAGAATATGTGAGGTCTTGTTTTTATTTTACCCTTAATGGCATTTGCTAACATATTTGCTTATTATTGAGCTATTAAATGTCATTAAAAAAAACTTTCCAGCCTACTGCAATAATACATTAAATTATCCATCCCTTCCGTTAGCTTTGTAGCGATGGTGGGGCTGAATAACAACCCACCATGGTGCTATTTACTTAGCGAGTGTCACTGCTTAATTCAATCTCAATCTCTTTTCTTCTCGATGCTTTACCACTGCATTTATCTACGTGATTTTCGCCCTTCCCTCCTCGTATTTACTGTGTTCCATTGCCAGGTACAGGATCCTGTCCAGGTGGATTCTCGTAACATGTCCGACTCGCCGTACGCCTCTTTTCTTTCACTTGATCTAATAAGGTTGCTTCCACTCCTACGTGTTTTATTGCAACAATATGAGGGCCATATATATTCTTAGTTCTTTCGGTAAAGTCACGTAGAAGGGAAACAATAAAAATATAAATTGTATTGTTTTATATTTTTTATTATTTTATTGTTTCCCTTCTACGTGACTTTACCGAAAGAACCAAGAATATGAATCCCTGCAGTCACGAAAGCTTTAAATCAAAATTGAATATGAAGGCTGCAAAGACTGGAAAATAACAATATTATTCGTGAATAATAACATTTAAAAACATGTACGTGTGTGTTGAACTTCTTTCGCGGCATATGTAGTCAACCATGCTAATCAGGGGGTGTGGGAAGGACCAGTTCACTTTTGTGTAAACAACTAATATGTGCTGCTAAATATGGATACGTCATTTATCTGTATTTAGAAAAATAAGATACACAAATGTGAAAAACAACATGATTGATTTACCTGATATAGTTACCACCAGGCCATTTTTATAGCAGCACGCCATGCTTACATTTTCAATCCCTGCAGCAGAGAGCCCATTACATACACCCTTAGGTATTTGTATGTGCAGCACAGTGAGCCAAGGCAAGTGGTATTCCAAAGGGAGAGTTCACCAGATCACAGAGATCTACAACACGGACCAATATAGGCTTAAAGGGGGAAGACCTGTAACCGAAGCCGTACTCTATCCAGCACCTCCCCCACCCACCAGTTCACCCCGATGAACCCGTGTCTCAATAATCATTTCAGAGACAACACCACTGAAGGGTCCACCTTACATTTAAATACGTGAAACAAACGTGAACCTTTCACTTGTATAAATGTATCTCCAACACATATGTAAAAGTTTAATAAATAATAAACGCTGACATTGTCACTTTGCACGCCAGTGAAATAGTGAAGCCGAACACTGTCGTTCAGATGCAAGGGAATCAACCCAAGCCCAACGTACCCCAAAACGCATACAAATACACGCGTGAGAGCATTATAAACCACTACAAATTATTTGATATAAAACACAGTCCTTAAATCCTCAAGCTAATAAAAC